GCGCCGGCGCACAGTAAAAAGATTTAATTTCCGCACGTCGGTGTTTGGGGTAGTTGTAAATTTGGTGATTGGCACATAAACATGTCAGGCAGGTGCGCCGCGTCGCCACAGGGATTCTTTGTGCCATCACGCCCATCGGACAATCATTCGTCACAAAAGTAACTAGCTTCGAAGTCTAGTTTCGGTTCTAATAAGTCATTGCAACCAGTCAAAATGCAACCATTCGTTTTTAACAAATTTTCAGTAGAATAACAAAATATTATATTATATATAATCTTATAAAATGCAATCTCTATAAATTGTAAACGATACCTTTTTTATTAATTTTAAAATAATATAAACCATTGTGTTTATTGCCAATTCTTCTTTTACGTTTTACGCCCTTGATTTGAGAAGTTTCTTTTTTGACGTTCATAAGTGTACATTGTATGACCCATATGAATAAATGATTTTGGTTTTTGATAGTTAATAACAATATTTACGATATTCAAGATTTGCCGCTTTATTTTGATTAATTTAATACTTAGCATTGGCTATATATTTTTTGCAGACAACACGGCCTATGTTGCCAATAAAAACTATAGCAGATAGCTAAAAAACTGAAGATAGAAGCTCATTTCATTGCCACCTGCAGCCACGGCAAAAAGCTTCCAATAAAATAAGTTTTTGTCACGATCGTTATGATTGAAACCGCTGGCGCTGATTTTAAACAAAGGACGACAGATAGAGGTGGCCATCAATATGCTAATACCGATTTACTCAACCCGGGCGATTCTTTTTTGTATCCAAACCCAAATTGGTTTATTTGTATTGTTAAGAACGGCTCTCGATGTGAATTCTATTTGTATTCGCCCAACATGTGGAGTGGATTCACTTTTTGTCCAAAATAAAAGAGCGTTTGTGAAAACTTTACGGACATGTTAGAGATGAAAAAAGTTTGGAACGGTCCGTGTGAACCACCCTTTACATGTTCATATAGACAGCTCCATTGATGATATTGGTTTATGTTGATTCATTAACATGTTTCATATTAGCATCGTACTTACCAGCCAACATCCATACGTTTCGTTGCGATACTCGATTCACGCTTGTGTGCTTACGTAAGATTATAATTGAAAATTACTGCCGATCAAAGCACGCGCCTTGTATGCTCGAAGCAGTCTTTGAACTAACCGCCTTCCTACTGCTAATCATTATACTTTTTAATTGGATTCAAACTTCCACCGTTAGCCGATGATTTTAAGTGCCAGAAATCCGTTTTTAAGTTATAAAAAAAAATCAGTGGCGCTACAACAGATTTCTGAATCTGTTTGATCATTTATCAATCTAATAGGCAACTAGCTGATCAGCCTCCTGTGCCTGACACATGTCGACTTTTTGGGTCTAAGGCAAGTCGGTTTCCTCACGATGTTTTCCTTCATCGTTTGAACGAATGTTAAATGCGCACATAGAAAGAAAGTCCCTTGGTGCACAGCCGGGGATTGAACCTACGACCTCAAGGATGAGACTCGCACGCTGAAGCCACTAGGGCAATTTTTATTAAGTTATAAAGCCTACCATTTACATGGCTTTCTTGTGTCAACATTTCTATAACGTTGTAATGCTAATCACAGTCAAAACACACTGGATGGATCTCGCTGCGATTCTCACGGCGGCTCACAGGCCGTAGTGAACAATTTGACACATCCAGGTGTCCAATTTTTTATGCACCCACACAATGGAGGTGGAGTTGTTTGCCCAGGCTCACATCTGGGCGGACGAAAAAACCGGCTGGACCTCTCGTATGAACGCTAATGAGCCCGGCTTAAACACACATTCCTCTCTTTAACCTCTCGAGAATTAGCGTGTAAGCTTCTTTTGTAAAGCAACAGATGCCAGAACAAGAGGTCTTGTCGCATTAACGAGTTTTAACATTGAACTTGACGATAAAATACTCATGAAATCAACTGTTAAGATAATTAGTCCTTGTGGGGTAGGTTAGGGTTGTGCCTGTTTATGACAACGTAAATACAAAGCCAGTGTTCAGAGCAATGTTTATGGAGAGAATTGACTTGACTGATAAGGCGGTGATAGAATAAAGCAGCGGAAAGACAAACGGTCCACTTCATATTACAACAAATAGTTATATTTACATATGTTTAGGGATTTAACAGTCGTTTTTAATAAGCGGATACGAGTGTATAAAATCGCAGTTCGTTTTAGATTTCGAGTGCGGATGCGAGAGCGGATGTTAGGGTTTCTTCCCGCGCTGTTAGCGCCTCCGTGCGGCAATTGGCAAGTTGTTACCGATTTATGGCCCACTCTAAACTTCATTCAACGCGATTTTGGTGGTCCCATTGTATTCCACTAAGTCCCTTCCCGCCGCAGCGCAGTCATCGCAGCTTAGCGCGCCCTCGAATTCCTTTTATGGCGTTGTTTTATAGTCTCCTTATTTCATTTGCATCGGTATCGTTAAATAATATTCGGACATTACATTTATGGTTGTTACAATATCGTTAATTCGAAAATTAAAATTTTGACACTTTTATATCCAATACCGAAATGTAATGAAAGTCGGCTAATTTACGAGTCACGATCATAACTGCGCTTACTCATACTTCAGATAATAAAAGTTTTAAAACAACTCGAAACCCAAATTTTACAGGACAATAAATAACATTCGAAGAGAAATCGGTCCGTTTCTTAGATTACCGATATGGTTTAAAATTGTTAAGAGGATTGCGATAACAAACTGTTATTATCATATTTAATTATTTAAGCGGCTCGGAATGTGAGTTACACGGCAGCGAAATGCGAAGGGAATTGCGTACATTAAGGATATCTTAAGACGGCATTTAAGAGGTCTTTTTCTGAGCTGTAATAGGCTTTTAAAGAGGTGCATGGGGGTTTTCGCATAAATTGCACGTCCATCGTCACCTTTGTCGGCGGCTTCAAAGCTGATATAACTGACGTGATGTGATAAGAGCCGTCGAACGGTAGCCGGGGATTTGTCGATGTACGGTCAACATGCGCCCGCGTCGATAGTGGGCAAGTATTGTAAGTACATATTTGTGTTTGTTTCCAGCGTTTGTACGAAGGATTGTCAATATTGTCGATGGATAAGGGTTCTGGATTTTCTTAACATAAACATGCTCGCAAATTAAACCTTGCGTATTTATTTTATTGACTGAGTTAGTTTGGTTTGTTTTTCATGCTATTTAGTAATCTGAAGTGGTAGCTATTAATCTTAAGCCCATGACATTATGTCAATTAAAATAATTGCAATACAATGTTGTAACTATTTTAAATTGTATCACAAAGCAGTTTGCGCAACCAGTACCTACTCTGATAGGGCCTTTTATTCAATCCAATCGATACAATCCACACCGCAACGTAAGTCAGTAGCCGACGTCGTAAAGTTTAAATGGAGGCTAATTTAGTGTTCTGTTAATTGTGTCCCTGTGTCGGCTTCTTATCGGAGTGCATTAGCGCGCCCGGCGGCCCCAAGATACCACTGTTATGACGGATGGACCGGCGCAGTCGCTGATAAATGACATTGGGTTTATGTGCTGTAAGACAAATTATGGCGTATAATCTAGCCTCGTTCCATCCAGTATGACGTACTTACTTATGTTAGGTAATGAAAGATTACCTTCTATATTATAACCTACAAAACAAAAGAAGGTAGTTTTTAGTTGTATTTTTTATGTAAATATTATCTTTGGAATCGGTGGACATTCTGGACTGTTTTTCTAGTTAATGTAGGTGTAATATGTATTACCTTTTTTAATAAAATAAAAAAAGTAATATTTGGCAAGAAGAAAATTTGCACAAGGATTTCAAACTTATTTGCACCTGATTGCCTATTCTTTTATGAAAACTTAAACATCACATATACAGTCAAACAACAATCAAATATCTAGTTCAGTTTCTTAACCTACAAAGTAATAATAAAAATAATTAAAAATTAATGAAAGAAAACTTAAAAGAAATTTAAAAAGTTTGGTCCCTGTGGCAGTGTATGTTTAACGCTGGCAGCATTTTCTCTCTGTATTTCGATACTACGTCAAGCAAGGAAAGCACCAGCTCTGGGGTCACCGGTACTATCTACCAGACGCCAACTTAAATCTTCGATTAGCGCCTACTCAGGATTAATTCAGTTAGGTTTCAAAAAAAACATAAAACATTTGAACCCTGAACAAAACCCCGTCAAAATGCGCTCATTTAAGGTACACATCGGTTTATTATCTATAGTATCCATTAATGAGTTAGATTAATATTAGTAGCACGTCGGCGTAATCTGCCCCGGCGCCGTGATTCCAACCCCAACGGGTGCCAAAAGCTCGTTGACCAACACTTTTACTCCCATCACATGCTTTTATAATCACGATAAAACCTAACAGAGTGGCATTGTCCACTATCGCCGTATAGCCGCCGTAATTTTATTATCGCCTTCTTTGTTCGTGCGCGGTTCATTTTACGGTGCAAAGTTATCTTTTATTGACTGTTAAGTGCTTGTTTTAATTTTATTTTGTTTATTCAAATTCGAAGGTGGAAAGGAATGTCAACCGTGTACCTAGCTAGCTTAATTTATAGGTAAAGAAATAAAATGCGGCAAATGCTTAGCATTAAATTGGTGTCATAAAAAAGTTATTGCCCCGACCTCCGTCATAGATATAACTTGTATTAATATTGATTGATATATATGGTGTTTATTACAATAAAAATTAATATGAACAGCAATTAATTTTATTTATTTGAAAAGGCATAATAAGTTACTACTTTGAAAAAAAGCGGTTGTTTCCAACTATCAATTATAAAATTAAATTTATCAAAAATATTTAAAGCATACATATATGTTTTAAGGGGTTGCCTGGAAGTGATCGCTCTAAAGTGATAAGTCCGCCAGTTGCCCTCCTTTTCATTTAATTATATCAATTGTATTATATTTCTTCATTCAATGAAGTTTTAATAAATAAAATCATAATTTCTTTTACATGTAACAATTTTGTTTCAGGCGTATGTTTCCTTCTCTTCGCGTGTCTCTGAACGGCCTGGACCCTCGTGAGGAGTACTGTGTATTACTAGAGTTATCCCTTGTCGGTCGACGACGTTGGCGTTGGGCGGGCGGCGCTTGGGCGGCTGCAGGTGGCGCTGAGCCTCAATCACCAAGAAGGCTGATGCTCCATCCCGATTCACCAGCCCCTGGACACCATTGGACGGCGAACCCGATCTCATTTAGCAAGCTTAAACTTACAAATAACACCATGGATGCGCAGGGTCATGTAAGTATTTTTTAAATTTTAATAAATTATTGATTTGGTAACAGAAACAGGTAACATTAATCTAATTATTTGGCTCCATATGTATGGAAATAGATTGTTACAGGCGGCAAAATTGTAATTACCGTATTTTTATCTAACAAGTTGTTTCGTGCCTGCTGTTATACTTTTATTTACTATTGCATACAATATGTAAGCAGTGTTGGCCTAGTGACTTAAGCGTGCGAGTCTCATCCCAGAGGTTGTAGGGTTGATCCCCGGCTGTGCACCAATGGACTTCCTTTCTATGTGCTCATTAAACATTCGCTCGAACGGTGAAGGAAAACGTCGTGAGGAAACCGGCTTGCTTTACACCCAAAAAGTCGACGGCGTGTGTCAGGCACACGAGGCTGATCACTTGCCTATAAGATTGACAGAAATCAAACATATACAGAAATCTGAGGCCCAGATCAAAAAGGATGCAATTAATTAATAAACGTATATTTTCTCGTGTAACTGAATGTTGTAAAGTTTATGAGAGATAAATATCTTAAACCGTAAATAAAGTTATTACAGTATATCACTGTTATATGTTATTAATACAAAACTAACAATTATTTAACGATACCGGTGGTCTTACGTAGTATTTGTAATAATATAATTTGTATGGACCACCGCCTCTGCCTGAGCTGGTCATAATTACAGCTTACCTCCAATTTTTCACTGTTACATAAAGCAGTTTATTTTTATTCCACTCCATACTCGTCTTTCACATACAATGGCAACGCCTACCTGACCACTTCCACTATAATTGAAACCAGCCTTTTATTGAATTTTAACTCTATTTCTTTGTAAATAAAGTCCAATGTTAATAAATATAAACAATTTACAGTTACTGGTGAAAAATAAAATTTGTTCCTATCGTGATAATGTCATAATCAAAGTTCAATCACTTTGAGATTAAATTTGCTTGTACAAAATTGAAATTTGAGCTTTTAGTTTCGGTAATCAAGATTATAGTCGTTGGTATAGTTAATATTTATTTTTAAAGTATTTTCATACAATAAATCTACTACATATAGTATCCTAAAAAACATTTAGCAAACTTAGTAAAAGACAAACTATTAGAAAAAAAACTTGTTAAAACGAAATAGTTTCGAATGTCTTCCGTTTAAAGTTGTCAACGGTTTAAAACAAATTCATACTATAATAATTATTTATATAATCAAGCAGACAATGATATGGTTATTATTGTTCTAAATATTATATTATAGTAGGTTTGCTTTATTAATTTAATCATAAAATTATATTAAATATTTATTTTTTATTAAAATACATATCACCGCAACAAACGTGTACCTATACAGTTTTTTTTACCATGTACAAAACATCAATGCATGTTCTCTCTGAACTCTATAAAAATCAATTTCTGTACTCTATTCTATTACGGTCACAATTTTAAACAGTTTCAGGCTTAATGCAGTTTTAAATAAAACTCATTGTACATGCAATAATACCATTTAACACTGCAATACAAAAAAGTCTATAAAAAGTGGATGAAAACCATTAAATCACTCACTACCATTAATAATAGGGAAAATAAGGCATCATTTGTCTATCAAAATAAACTCCCTGTTCATGGCTATTAACTCGTGTAGGAAAGGGAACTATTATGACAGGTCAGGAAAAAACACTGTTACGCTTGGATGACTCGAACTTCTATTGAATATATCATACACACATTTTTCGAGGTTTGCACCGTTTATTACACCAAAACATAACTATTTTTCTTACATGGCTCCGTGTCACATCTTTCTTTGCTTGCTTTGGACCCATTAACTATAGTTTGCCTATAAAGTTTTGTAGGTATTGCATAAGTTGTGTTTTTTTATGTAGTAGGATGCAAACGTGCAGGAGGCTCACCTGATGTTAAGTGATACCGCCGCCAATGGACACTCACACTGCCAGAAGGCTCGCAAGTGCGTTGCCGGCCTTTCAAGAATTTGTACGCTCTTTCCTTGAAGGAGCTAAGTCGAATTGGTTCGGAAATACTTCAGTGGGCAGCTGGTTCCACATAATGGTGGTGCGCAGCAAAAACTGCTTAAGAAAACGCTCAGTTGTGGAACGACGGACGTCGAGGTGATACGGATGGTATTTTGTATTCTGCCTTGACGTCCGATAGTGAAACTCAGCTGCAGGTATTAGACCGAACAACTCCTCTGAAAACCATGTTCACCTAGTTAAGGAGTGTGTAGGAACTTAAACATATGTACGAGTAGAACGACCGTACCAATTGTACGCTACACACTGTCGCAATACAAAATGTGTGCTATAAATACATACAGTTTTACAATTTTTTGTTATGATAATTTTTCAAACATAGGTAATCAAAAAATAAAAGTAATCAAATCAAAATACAATTCGTTATCAATTCTCCCTTCTTCTTCATTTATTAATTCCACTCTTCGTGTTTAGTAGGATGAAGCAAAACCTTCTCACGGTAGGCATTTCAAAACCATATCGTTATCAGCGTATGCCTTGTAAGGCACTGCAGGCGGCATCCCAAAGTACCCACAACAATAGGCAAGCTACCGAAGCCTCGTCGCATGGAAATATACGCATCGCTTGCGCACTTGAGATTTCGCCACCTGTAATAAAAAGGGATCCATTGTTCCCTTCAGCTACCTCATTGTCTGCTTTTTAACGCAACATCAAAGATACCTTCGTGGTAGTACTACCTAATTTTATTGCGGATTATGCGAAGAAAAGATAACTGTAATTTGTTGTCTATAGTCCTTCAGAAATAAAACTTGCTTAATTATGTTTTACTGTGAATTTAGTTCTGATAACGTTTCTAAATTTAATCCTTTAATTATTAATTTGAAGTGCCTCCTATGATTTTTTGTATTAGCAGTTAATTATTATTTGTAAAATAAATTCAATTCGGTAGAACGCCAAACCAACATCTTGTTCCAATATGTGCGTCGTACCTACATATAAATTGCATTTAGCTATTTACTGATAAGTTATTCATAAAATAAATCAGTTTCTAATCTACTGTCTCTTTTTAACACAGCGTCAACACAATTAGACAGAAAGAGCCGTAAGATTTGAATAAGGGGAAGTAAATGATTAATGACAACATTACATAAGTTATATTGCATTTAACAATTTATTACGAGGAATTATTAAGGCCTGTCAAATACTAAAAATAAAAAAGATTTAAAAGAGGGTGATCTTACATTGCCAACCCCTTTTCAAAAAAATGAAGGGATGTTTGTTCAACACATTAAACATTATCGCTACGAACATCGACGACCCGTGTCAATCCAGGTGAAAATACATGTTTTACACGAATCTTATCTTAATCTTGTTGCGGTAATTTACATTAATTTGTGTGTTCCTTACAAGAAACAGGTTTAACTAAGTTCTTTTATACATGTATTTATATTGCCTAAATAATTATCATATTATATTATTGCCTCAAAAATTATCATATTATATTATTGCTTAAATAATTATCATATTATATATTGCCTCAAAAATTATTATATTATATTATTGCCGAAATAATTATCATATTGTGTTATTGCCTAAATAATTATGATATTATATTATTTCCTAAATAATAATCATATTATATTAGTTCTTAAATAATTATAATATTATATTATTGACCAAATAATTGTCATATAATATTATTTCCTAAATCATTAGAAGAGTCCTAAGTGTAGGATATTAGTATTAACTCATAAGATAATAAGTGCTTAACAAATATTAAAAGATTTTTACAATACATCGCTTACGATAAGTAAGTGTATAATCAATTCTGCGAATTCCGCGTTTTATCTTAAATCTAAACAATTTTGATTTAAAAACCCAACTTACCAAATCAGGAGGTTTTTGATATAAAATACTAATCATATCTTATAAACACAGCAAAATAATGTACCTACCATTTTCAAATTTTTCGCAATATATTTGTGATCCAAATAGGAATTATATATAGAGAAGCCTCTTGTCCTGTGTACAAAAACGTTATATAATCTAAAAAAAATTGTCGCTACCCTGCTCCATAGACCATAGATTATTAAAAACTTGAAACTATTTCTTGAAATTCTATTCCCGATTAAATATTACAAATTCCTAAATACTAAAATGTTCACTATCAGATACTTCAATCGATTTTGATTGAACGTATGTCGGTTTGATGGACGAGAACAAAAACGTGAAGAAACGTTATTATGCCGGTTCAATATCATTCCCATAGTTTGTCAAAATTGAAATGTATCTCACGATTGTATACATGACATTAAAACCTCTCTTCTCTATTTTATAATACACTAACTAATTTTTATATCTATAATACAACTCTTTAGTAATTAGTATAATAGTAACAGTAATACTGAGCTGTGTTGACTAAGCTGTACCTATGTAATATGATTTGCTTCTGATTTCTAATGAAGCAATAATTATATATAATAAGGATTTAAAACATGATCAGTGGAACCGACGCAGATGCCCCGTAAGTTTTCAGGACTTTTTTACCTACTTGAGTAATTATTACGATAGAGGTATTTTCCCTTACGAATAAAATTTTATTATGTTTCGGCTTCTGTCATAATCATAGTTAATTGTTGTGGCATTTCATTCCATATTTGGGTCTATTAAATAGTCTTCGCTCAAAACGCATCTCGAACGCCTTTTAAAAGAAAAAAAAAATGTTATCGCACTATGAAACGGGAAAATATTAAATAATTGCTTAATTACGCGTTTATATGAGTTATTACCAGTTAATTCAATTATATATTTCCACAGTAGTGTCCTTATAGAGTTATATTTAATTGTAGTCATAATAAGCGCGGTTTTTGTCCATTTTGTTATGGATCAAAACGTTTATACAAATATCACTGATTTTTAATCGTAAATAAAATTCGAACGAAATACGTGACTATATGAAAGCTTCACTGCAAAAGTGTTTAGTGGAAAACCTTTGCCTTTTTTTTTTTATTAAACACTACATCACATATAATTGCTTTCCTACAGTATAATAAGTTACAATTTATTCTAAAATATATGAACATTTTTGGTTTTGTTTTGGATCTAAACCTTACTACAAATATCACTAACTTTTTGTGATCGTAAATGAAACTCTGTTAATAAAATACGTGAAATTTGTTAAATTACTTGAAGTTTCAAAAGCTTCTCTGTATTAGTGTTTAGTGGAAAATCAAATACAATCAGTAAGGAAATTTGCCTTTATTAAATAACATATAAGTTACATTATATCTAACATATTTAATGCATAAAATAGAGAAGAAAAACAATGTAATTATAAATTTTAGCTTCTACATAGTAGTAATTACTCACCTAATGCACACTATGTATAATAACGCTTTATTTTTATTAATCAGCCCACTACCGAATATACCTACCAAACTCTTTTACATTCTTCAGTCTCGTGTCTGTTATTGTACTTGTATATTTATAAACACACATAATATTAACACAATTTTATTAGATTTTGTGTTTCCCTTAAGGGTGAGAAAAAATATAGGTACATATATTGACATAGTTATTTAAATTATCTAGGGTTCCCAAGTCTTACAAATTATAATAAATTGTTGTCAAATGAATAAACACATTTTATTTTATTTTTATCTCAAATACTAAATTAAAACTTAAATATTATCATCTAAATTTATTTTGACTAAACTAGAGGTTTACTTAAGACTTTATTATTTTCGCGTCTAATTGGAATCTATAAAAATTAACAAAACATATTTAAATCTAAATGGCTAAAGTCCCCGATACCCCAAAGTGTTAAATACCAAATTTCTGTCTTAAATAGGCTCACCGAACGCACCATAAGAAATAATCATATTTCTAAGAAGCAAACAAAGCATATTCCAAATAATTCACACATATAAACGCTGATAAATTTCAATTAAGTACCAAACAAAAAGCGAGCGGTATCCGGGACCACAACCGATGTTCAATCTGCGATAACGTTCATTTCGGCTTTCTTTATTAGGAATAATTGCGTTAACTGCTATAATTAAATTAATTAGACCCGCAAAAACAAATGATTAATGTTCTGTACATGACACTATACATGTTAGTTTTTGGAGTGTCACACGATGTTATCTCCATCGATACTCGGAAGATTTAAGTGAATGTGCAGGGTTTCGTCGGTGATGGCAGAATTTCTTTGAAACATATACTAAATTTTAATTGCTCAGATTTCCAGTTCGATACTTGTATGTATTGCGAGTATTCATTTTATTCTTGTAATCGATTGAAGTCTTACAATATGTCGGCCGTTTATATTATCTCGTCACTGTAGAATGATAACCTCGTATGTCCAGAGAACCAAACATTACAGGAAACGAAAAAATAATTTCATTTCGTCAATGTTCGTTAAAATATTATTATGTATTTTTGTCCATAGTTTTAGAAGGTAAAAAGGACTTATTTATTAATAACATCAATAAGTCCTAACTTCATGATTAAATACCAGTTAAATGTCATAAAAGTAAAAAAAAATTAATAGTTTTTGACATACGAGGTTATCATTCTACAGTGACGATATGGTGACAATCAAGTTCGCTACTTTACAGTAAATTTAGTAAAGTACGGTTGCAAATCATTAACATTTTAGAAAGATCGAATAATTTCTATTGTTTTGCGTCACTTATGACTCTATAAACATTTAAAGCTATTATGGTATACTCATAGGTATTATTTATTTATAATGAAACTAGCAGACTCGGCCAAGCTTTGCTGTGGCTAAGATTTTTGTTATATTACATAGTAGTAAACTATTCAAGGGAAACGGTAGGAGAACTTATGTGAAAGGTAGATGACAGCTTATGTGAAACGTTGATAATTTTAACACAGCGCCATCTGTTAGAATTGTATCAAATAATAAACAAATATTTTGCAATAAATTAAAATTGCGCCTATAATTTGAGATTTAAACTATCCTATCTCTCAAGTTGGAATCGAAAGGGGAAAGGGGGGAAAAAATTTAATTGATATCGGTTCGGTAGTTTAGGGGTCCATTGAGGACAAACATCTGAGGGCAGGGGATTTATATATACAGTAGAACCTCTATAAGTTGAACATCAAGGAGAAGCCAAAAAATTCGAGTTATAGAGTTTTCAACTTATGGAGGATTTCGCTTAGGCGGATTTTGATTCGACAAAAGAGTTTGAGGTTTATTCTTATAAATTGAACACCTGACACAAAGAAGCAAACACGTTTTCCATGAGTCATAAATTTATTATTGTATACTCCTAAAATGTTTTTAAGAAACAAAGTGTACTCACATTGCGGCACGTTCTTAAAGTCGGTAACTTATTCGAACAATAGTGTACTAAATTCCAAATGATTGTATAGTTGTAAAACAAAACGTTCCTATGTTCGAGATACAGAGGTCAAATTTAATTTTCGAGTTATAGGTGAAAATATGTACCATTGAGGGACCTCGGGGATTATTTCGATTAACAGAGGGTCAAGATTTCAAGTAATGGAGGTTTTGGTGTAGAAGGAAAAACATTTTTCGAGATTTGAGGTTTATATATTCGACTTAACGAGTCTCTTATTAAGATTATTTAGAACCACGGAATGCAAATAACTCGCTTACATTTTTATACTGTAAATAATAAATGTTAACTTTTTGTTTAGTAAATTTACCGAATAGCCATGTTGGTATATCGTTTCATTAAATGCCAATAAAAAATTACCATCTAACTTTTGTAGCTCTGTTTATTGCCGTAAAAGGAGGAACACACATCTGCCTAGTTTCAGACTAAACGGTTCGTCATAACGGACTGGAATTGCTCACATTATTGCCATATAAGTTTATTTTATATTAACACTAGCGTATGAAATGGTCTTATATCTTGTGTGTAGCCATATAAGGATGAGAAAAAAGTCCCAATATAATTAGTAGGTGATAAATTTTCCGCTACAACATATGTTTATGTTATTCCACATCTTCTAGGAAGTATCAGAAAATAATTGAGTATTTTATTACGGAAGAGTATTAATATTTTATACGCGTAAACGGTGAAATTAAAATGAGTAATAACTAACTATACACGCAGTCATAAAAACCTTAAAAACCGTCCAAAAGATGTACTAGAACTCCAAATACAGTAGTTCCTACAATGTAAATTATCATATTTCAAAGAGAACAGTAGTTAAAGAAAGCATAAAAAGTGAAAAGTATAAACCAGAACCCTTTTCCGCATGGAGTGGTTCCGGCGCCCACGCAGGTAGCTTTCTTCAAGCACCAGATAAAAGCGCGTCTGTCGCCAATGTTTTTTAACATTATTTGAAAATATAATGTATTTCGGGTTTATATTTTCAGACAAAATATTGAAAATATAAAACACACTCATACATAGGCTTATAGTCGTATAGTAGTAGTAATGTAGTAACAACTTAGAATATAATAAGGTTCACGCAATTGCCTAATTGATTAATAATTAATTATAATTATTGTTTTACAAAAAGTTTTTTCTCGTGAATTGACGTGCAACAAGCATGTAAAAACGATCTTTATAAAGAAAACTGTTTCGGGTAATTATTAAAATCAAAATTCATTTTAGTTTTAAGTAGTTATATCTTAATGTATATAATATATATTATATAGATATTATAAAATTGTGTTCTTGGCTTCCGAAAGACTCAGTTGGTTTTGGTGTAAGTGTATAATTCCCGGAAGATAGGCGCAAAAGGGCTATTTGCCCAGAAACTTGTAGAAGTTACAATAGTCATTTAATGATTTACAATTTAATAAAAATATATTTTTTAATTGATACCCACTGTACTATATTTGATCCACGATAATAAGACTGAATAAAACAAATCTTTATAACCATAAACTAACTATAATTTTCTTACAGATGGTTCTAACATCGATGCATAAGTACCGACCGAGGGTGCTGGTGGTGCGAGCTCGTGACGCCGCAGCCCTGGCCTGGGGAGCACCTCATGCCTCCTTTTCATTCCCTGAGACTGAATTCATTGCTGTTACAGCTTATCAGGTAATTTATTTAACTATTTGATAAATAAATATAATTAACGTTTTAAAAGAATTGGGGAAATTGTTAAAGGTTCGATAAATAAAAGGCCTGAAACTTATAATAAATCGTATATATGTTTTCATATCGTATTTGCTAAATAACTGTTACTTTAACGGACGTAGTACGGCGTTTATAATTTAAATTTTTAATTTTAAGTCTAATACAGGACTCTCTGTTTTAGCTAATATATTACTTACTTGTAAATGTACTAACGGCATAGTTAACCCAATAAAACTTACACGTCTGAAGAGGTGGATTAAAAACTTAAAGGAAGTTATCTAAAATTACGTTATGTGATATCTAGAAAATAGGGGAAGACCTTATAGGGTTGTATTATCGATACAATCTTACATCTTCCCAGAAACCGTAGTACGTTTCTGGGAATACAATTCGCACTTATGACGCACAGATTTTTTCATCAAGGCGCCACTACCAAACTAGCAAAAAAATTGTGACGCCGTCGAGTGGTCAATAGAAACAAAAGGGAACTAATTTAAAATCTCAGCGGTGTGTTTGTTCGTGAAATATTGGCCGTGTTATCAGATAAAGAATGGGTGGGACAGAGTACAGCTTTAACGGAGAATCTAATAATGATCATTTTTTGTCTGTCTCAAAGTGTTAATCAGGCGTGATTATGAATCATAAAACAACTGAATTCTATTCAAAAACATTATTTTGTTTGTTCTTGTTTAATAGTTTTATGTACACAATAAAGTATTATGTATTTTGTCTCTCTGTAAATGAAAAATATCTTACATGCTACCTAATCATAAATGTACTTAGCAAGCGTAATTTATATGTAGTAAAATTTAACACAGTTTAACATTTAATATATAAACTGCGTAGATACACAATATTTATTACTTGCTAGAAATGTTTATTTAAAACTATAAACTATTACCAGCTATTTCTTTTGCATGATTTGTTTTTTGTCTCTAAAGCATAAAGAAGAAACTTCAGTAGGTAATTGTACTTCAAATAATTATGTAGATTTATACTTGGCAGATATGTATATAGCTCTTTCTGCCGCCATAAGGCGCCCCGCTGTTTGTTTTCTTACCCCACGTCCATGCTTTTGGCGCTCAGCGCAGCGTGTCCTATACTTGCATAATCCATCGTTTAGTAATTAGGTCGAGTCGGCGTCTTTACTCCCGCGGCGTATTTAATGTTGACTGCATCGAGGCGCGAAGGGCTTCTCGCCATTTATAATTACAATTACAGCCGGCAGCTTTGTGGGATAATCCCGGAATTGTCCAAGTAACGGGACGCCCGTCTGGACAATGGTCGGCAGTGTATCATTGCGCATTATAACGCATAAGTGCACGCTACGTCTGATGTATTGTTACGAATTACCGACGAATTAGAAAACGCCCTTTGTGATCACCGGCAGGCTATTCGACAGCGTAACTAGGTGGCAGACTGTATTGTCACACAGTGGGATAATACTATACATACTACGTTGCCAAGATTCTTGTTAACTTTCTTAGTTACGTATTATTAATACTTATGACGTTAAGAAAGAAAAATTGAAAGAGCGAACCAATTCTTGAAAGGCCGGCGACGCACTCGCAATCCTTCTGGCATTGAAACTGTCCATGGGGTATCGATTAATATCAGGTGTTCCTCCTGCCCGTTTGCCCTCTGTTCTATAGAAAAAACTTCACTCAATTGAATACATCATATAGAGTGATCGTTCTCCCGATACAACTAATTATTTGAAGGGCTTTGTTAGAGTTACTGAAGGACTTATTTTCCAATTATACCTTCCTACTGCAAACAACAACAAATCATTCTATAACTGTTTGTTAATCATATAATTCCGCCATTTGCACCCGATAACTAAACTAAATTTGCTCAGACCCCTAATTATACATTAAAAAAACTGGCGACAGTCGCAAATATGAAATATTCAGCAAAAAGCTAGTCGCGTGACGTCACGGGCGACAGGGCGGGCTCAGGGCGGCGCCTGGGCTCTTGCGGTACTTCAGTTATCCGTCCGACTTGAGAAGTGCACGAGAGCTAATAACAGGCTTTTAGCACACTCCGTTATCGGCTGGCCGTGTTATCTGGTAGTTCGATGAGCAAGCGCACCCGCCGGCGCCGCCTTATCGACGCATGTAAACAATCATTTACGAGTGACTCCACGTCAGGGCACTGTTTGCGGTCAAGATTTGGCTGGGATAACCCGAAGTGCCAAATTTATAACGTATAAAAATTGTTGATTAGAGTCAGATTAGATGTGAACTGAAAAACTTAAAGCATATCTATTTAAGTAAATATAAATATATGTTATGCTAACAAACTAAATTAAATTAGACGGTTCTTATTAATAAATAAATAACTAACCTTAACATATATTAACTAAAATATATTATTAAAAGGAGTCCCTTTAGGCAAGGTTCCGAAGATACTGGCAGCGTTCCCCTTTTGAATAGCTAGACTAATTCTTTGTCCGAGGTAGCTGCCTGATCTTCGGTCTCCTGTGATGTCGACTAACCTTTTTGATATTCCTTTAAAAAGCCTTAAAGCGCTAGGACCCCACCCACGGGTATCGACACCGAATGGGACAAAATCATATTCTGAGACTAGACCCCTGTATATAGTAGGTAAATATATTATAAGAGGAACATTTAGTTTTGTATCCTTGATTACTCTTCCTCTTCGCAAATTTCATTACTAAAGGTCGTACTAGTCTTGAAAAGCCCTAAGCGATACATCGACTTGCTCCCTACATTACTCTATCGTCAGCTTATCTCAGTGCATTATGGATGTTGAGACCCATAATTAATTGTCTTTGTCCTTGATTACAGTAGATATCAATTTACGAAGCGTAGACAAGATTCTAAATGGTTTGTTAAGGGAAACGTCACATCATAGGTTTAAAAGGGATGAAGTAGCAATCAAAACCATGTGACAAACAGAAGCCATATCGGATTTCGTTCTGCACTAGCTTTGCGTTTTGGCGCCGTGACGCCCGAGCTATATAACGCAACGGGCGGGCGGCTGAGGCGACACGCCATACCATGCTAATTGGCCTGTCGCCAACCACACATGCGCAACAATTATCCCTTACAAGCTATTAGTAACATGTATGCGGAAACGGATGTTTAAATTGCCATCGCGAGATAAGATACACCCTGACGCAGAAGCCTTAAGTTTGAGAAGATTAATCCAGACTAAATAAACGAAAAAATTATTTCTGTTAATGTTTGAATTATTAGTTGACAATCAATGGCAAAATATATCATTTATGTATCATCTTAAACGGAAGAGATTGTAGATTAATGATATTACATAATAGATTTCACACATGCACACATGCATCAATATACAGTTCAAATTAAGAAAAGGAAACAACGATTGTCTAGTTGTTCTCCTAAATTTATTAAGTAATATAAAATAAAAACTGAATAAATAGGACTAATATTAATTATTTGACTGTTGGAAATGGCTCTGGTTCCAATAGAAACTGTAATGCAATATAATTGCGGATAATTTCCTCTATTTCATAATTGTAATTACTCGACGCAAAAAATACAACTAATCAAGTCAGTTATAACTCATTACTAATTCTTGACATTAAATTTCCGTTACTAAAAAGTTAAATGTTTGGCATCGCATTTCAATAATTTAACTGCGATATTTAAAGATTCTAAAAGCGTCTAGACAGATGTAATTAACAAAAATTTTATGTCGAGTCAATTTTCTATGAATGCAATTTACTAAAATACCATAACATTCTATCGAAATAATTGTTGCCTTTTGTCTATTAGCGCTAAAGTTAAATATGTTTTTGAGAAAATATAAGAACACAAGGACAAATATTTTTAATAAAACTGATATTTGTTATAGGTACATTTTTAATTAAATAAATAAGTCGTATTTGCAGTATTATTACTATATAAATAAATAAATTTAAAATATGTAATTTAATAATTCAGCTCACAGAAAGCGTATACATAATTTTCAATACATATTAAATTGCGTCGTTATAAAATTAAATTCCTGTCTTTCTCTACCAAAAGTTAATAAAACCGCTAAAAGTGACAGTTATAGTATACATTGACATAGTATTAGATAAGCTGCAAGTTATGTAACTAATATTTCTTTATTTGTTCACAGAACGATCGCATAACAAAATTGAAGATCGACAACAACCCGTTCGCAAAAGGTTTCCGCGCGTGTGGACAATCCAAATGCAAGAGGAAAACCTCAGACCCAGACACCGGCTCTGAACCAAATGAATCTCCTGAGCCAAAACGACCTTGTTCTGACGCCGCATCATCATGTTCTGAAGAGGGAAGCCTTAGATCTACGTCACCTCGATCGCCTCCTCTCATCGACTCTCCCGCGCCTTTGATTCGTCAAACACCAGACTTAACACCCCCATTCTACCCTGAATTGCCGTACATGCCGCTACATATGCCTGTACCTCTTGGCATGTGGCCAAGTGGACCGACTAACCCATTCCTGCCATCGTGGAGTCCCCCCTCAAGCACCAGTTCCTAGGATACCATCACCTCCAGAACCAGCCCCATGTCGACGAGTAAAGAGCTTCACAATTAGTGCTTTACTCGGCGAAGGCTGAATCTGAAGTTAAAATAACGGGAATTACAAGCAATTTTTAATCAGCTGTGGCTGTAGACACTTCTGTGAAGTTTATGTACATAAAGTATAAATAATATTGGCTTACTGTCTAGTATTAATACCATAAGTCAGTCCTCGGAAATTAAGTGTATTTTGTTATTTATTTGATAGGCTATAAGGTTCGAATATCTTTAAACTACTTTTACATATTAACAAAAAATAGCGAAATATAGGTTAATTCTTGAGTTTAAGAGTTTGTAGTGAAGATAACCTTATAAAATGTAAAAATATTTAAGTATAATGTATAGTTACACAATTAGTTACTTGTAAAAGTCTACCTCGTAGTTCGAAATCATGTAATAATAATGGTTTTGTGATAGTGCCTTAGTTATGTTAAATATTACTTTATACTAGAATTTAAGTTTAACACTGAAATCTCACTGTTAGACTTATAAAATATGTATGTATCACGTAAATACAAATAATGTACATATATCTTATGAGCTATTTAAATATTACCATTAATAAATAATGTTTATACAGATAAGGTAGTTTTTTTATAACACATTTAATTGCCAGCTAATTTGTCTAATGCGATGTTCAAAATATAACAGTATTATATGTTTAATTGTGTTTAATAAATTAATATGAATACAGTTTACATAATCTTTTTTTAAAAGTTAAGACTTTTGATTCAAGTTAATAATCTGTAGCCCGAATGTAGATAGTTGTCGCTGCTTAACTAAATGTTTCAGAAAACCGGTTGATTTCTAATTGGCTAGATCTGGCAGTCTTTGGATAAAATTCAGAAACAAGACAGCGGTTAGTCTTTCTTCCGTATGTAGGGGAGACCGGGGTTGGTTGTGACATATTTATTATAAAGAGTCATAGTTTTTATTGGTTTGCTTATATTACCTAGATTTGTTTGAATGAGCATTTAGTATTTAAATTAAACATATTTCGTGTGAACCGAACAATTAGATTAGACATAAATAGAAGATTTAAAGAAAAAATGGATGTCATTTTCAACCATGTACCAGGGGCTGGTTGTTACTGGAGCAAAATGTGACAAACAAAATAAACGTAATAAAAACTTTTTAATAGTAAAAATCATTTAGCCACTTGGGTCCTCGGCGCCAATAGAATTCGATGTATTCTGCTCAAGTTTGTAGCTTCCGTCGAATGTATATAACCAAAGGTTGGGTTTCAAAAAAGCCGTCAGTCAGTAAACTGGTCCAAGCCTAAAATTATTTATTTGAAGTATTAAAAAAGCTAATTAAAGTAACTAAAGAATTGTAGTTTCATCATAAAAAGTAAGTTTTGGGGTTGAAAAATGGTATCAGATAACTCGTTCATATTACGCCTAGTGGCTTCAGCGTGCAACTCTCACCCTTGATGTCGTAGGCTGTGCGATGAAAGAAAACATCGTGAGGAAACCGACATGTCTTAGACCCAAAAAGTCGACGGCGTGTGTCAGGTACCTACTTGCCTATTAGATTGAAAAATGATCATTAAACAGATTCAGAAATCTGAGGCGCGTAGCGAAAGAGGTTGTAGCGCCACTGATTTTATTTTTATAACTCGTTCATTATGTTATACAGGTTGCAAATATTACAATAAATTGAAAATCTTACAAACCCCAGCTTATGTCAGCGACAGCTTCGTGCTCTTTTAACAAAAACTCTGTCGCCACTAGCTCTCGCACCATATGAGCTGATAATGCGCAGCGTATTTTTTACTTTCTACCCTCACTGTAGCATTCTGTGTTTCGCCACTAATGCCACTGTAACTACTTACCCCTCTAACAACCAGCCCCGGTCTCCCCTACGAGTCTGCTAAGTCGTGTTAAAAATACCCGAACTATTTCCAATAATTTAACTAACAATCGAATCCAATTTCCATATAGTACTTTTAATATGTATAACTCAATCACGAATTAACGTGGTCGGAAACTCAACATTGAAACTGGAATCGCTATTGATTATTACGGAGTAAACTGCATGGCATGACTATACCATGTAGCGTGAATTTTCTTAGGAAATTCCCGTACTTAAATAAAACTGTGTAAATATTAGATTTTCAACTATTGCTTTAAACAAGAATATATAACTATATCTGATCCATTAGGAAGCATTCGGTACCTAACAGTTATTTTGTATTACTATTAAGCGGAGACATAGGTAGGTAGTCCCCAAGAGGTCATCAGTTAGTTATTTCACCTTTATGTAATGTATTTTAAAATAGTAACGACTAGATAACGCAGCGAACTTCGTATCACCTGCTAAAATGTGGTCAAACCTTCAAAAACTCACAAATTTCAGAATGAACCTAAAAATATTTGACCAAGTGACAATTATGTATATCTAAAAAAAAGACGTCAAATGTTTTAAATCTAGAATCGAATTGTATGGGATTATAGGGAAACGTCCATATTCATCAAAATCGATTCAGTACTTTTTGTGATCCAGTATTTTGCGCCACCTAGTGAGTCAATTATAAAGTATTATACTTGCAATGTTTCGTTTAAACGTAGTAATTGTTGACAACGCTTCATAGGTGGCGTCTAATACACATTTAAGTTAATTTATAATAAAAATAATTAACATGTTTCAGATGTGTATAATTTTGAATAAAATAAAAAGGTTTTTGTACAGATTTAATAATGGAAATTGTCACAATAGCCACATTTTAACGTACATCAAAAATTCATGAATACACACCTTAATCAAGTGAACTGAAAAATAGAGGTAGTTTGTTCGATTTGTCAAATCCGTGAAATGGATTGTTTAAGAACTTGAGAATTTCTAATGGAAACTAAATATACAAACACTTTTAAGTAACATTTTTGAATATAAGGTATGATTCAGAGTTAAGTCATAGTTTGGCTAAGTCTTGACTCAGAATCTTACTCTTAGAATCAACAACTAAATATACACAATACAAGTTGTGAAGTAAAACAAGACTGCAAGTGTAACATCTAAATGATTTCATAAACCTAAAATTATTAACAAAATATTGTTTTTAACAGTTCTATGCATATTTTTAACGTAAATAAAGTCTTTGTTTCAATGTTTTGTCGTAGTATTTGTATTTAATTCACATAATGTGATGTTTACATACAATTGCTTTTACTATGTAGAATACAATGAGTAATACGTATGGTTATGATACAAGGCTACAGGAAAATCATCCCATTGCCATACCCTTGAGCACAAATTGTATTTTTCTAATTACTATTCATTTGGTATTCTTTGCTTTTAAGGCAGATAAATGGTTTTGTTAGAAATGAAAGTGTGCTCTACAACATACATATTATTTACACAAAATATTTGACAAATTATACAGATATTTGTATTACTTACTCAAGAACTTGTCTTAATTATCTAGTATAAATATTCTTTAACTATCCGGCTACAAGGTTTTGTAATTCAGCAGTTAACTCTGAAGGGTCTATATTCACTTTGGCATTAGGTGCTTGCACATTAGATTCCCTATTGCACGCTTTTTTATGCACAAACCAATGCAAACGCTGGCATTCTCTATCACAATATTGCACTGTTTTACATTTGGAACATTTTTTTGCTGGCGTTTCTTCACCACAAGTACTACAATAAGGAACAGTGTCAATAAATCCTCGCTGGCCATTGATAGTACAATTAATCACTGAAAAGGCAGGTGGTGGGGCTTTACTTGTCAAAGAAGTAACCATCTGATGAAATGTTGTACATTCTCTGTATGGAAACTCCCGAACACAATCTTTAAGGAATGCATCCATCAAATCTAATGAATATCCATCCTTTCCTGGTTTTAAGAGCTTTTTAGTAAAAATTTCTACTATATCATGCTTCTTTTCACTCTCAGAGATAGGTTTTTGTTTATCACGGATATTACTAATTTCTTTTAAAATATATGCAAGGTAGTGATATTTAAATGCCATCACTTCATTGGTTTCACTGCCCCTTGTCATTTCCTTTTTACAAAGCATCTCAAGGACCTTGCTTACCTTCTCAGCATTGTCTAACAGACAGGAAGCATGTTGTAAGTTAAGAGCTAATCTTACTGGATGAATATTGACACCTAGAACAAATTTATGCAGAGGTTCAACAAGTAAAGCTGGTAGATAGGGTTCAGTCTGTTGACCTTGAGGAGTTGAAAAGTAAGATATTTCAGTACGAGGTATGAAGTTGTTAATAGTTGCCACAGTATGATGGTTTCCTACAAAAGCCGCCATCTGAGCTGCCGTGCGCCCAACAGAATTTGTAGAATTGGGTTTAGACCCCGCATCTAACAGGAGCTTACATACTTCTGAATTCCCCGATAACGCGCCAAAATGTAGCGCCGTATAATTGTACTCGTGGTTACCACAATTGACATCCGCACCCTGTAATTTATGAGGGGGTTATTTCAATACTATACTACCATTACAATAGCAAAATATGTATTGTTAAACGATTATTACTTACCCTATCAAGAAGCAATTGTACCATATCCTTGCACCCCTTATATGCAGCGTGCTGGAGGGCAGTCATACCATTTTCGTCTAAAAAATCGACACTGCCCTTGTGTTGAGCAAGTATATTCTTAAATTCCGTCAAATCTCCTTGTGCAATAACAGAGAATATTGTTTTTTCAGGAACGTTTGGATCGTCGTTTTTGTTGTCCATTTTAATTAATAAATTACTGGAAAACTGGGATTTTTAACAAATTAATACGAGTTTCCAGACAAAACCTCAATCACAAAGCACATTCACAGCACAGATAATTGATAATTCACAGAATGGTAAACTGTGAACACAGAAAAGAAACTAAGTCGTTGGTTTTACTGTCAATTGTCAAATCACATAGATGAGTGAAGAAGTCCGATCTTTCTGAAGATCGTGATCGTACATTATAGTCATTTAAAATCCGCAATCGATTAAGGACCGGACCTATGTGTACGATATTATTATAATTTGTTTTGTTTTGTCGCATAAGGAGAAGGAATTTTAAAAGTAATTAACGACAGCAAGTAGTTATATGTATATAGACAATTGGTTTAACGAGTTTAAGCGTGGACGTAGCCCTATCCGCGTGAAAGACGTCCTTTAACAGCGACTACTGAAGATAACATCAGTGCTATGCGACGCATGATTGAGGAAGATAAGAGAGTGATCTATTAGCAGATATGGGCAAGCCTAGGCATTGGTATAACTTATACCATTATGTAATGTTTTTTATAATTGTCTTATACCGTATAAGTCAAGTTTCAAAAAACATTACATGAACATTTAGGCGTCAGGAAGCTTTGTACCAGATGGATTCCCCATACTTTAACCGACGACCAGAAACACTTTCGCATGGACTGGTGTCGCCAAACGTTAGAAAGGTTCAACTGCGGTGACTCAAATGCTGTATTTGACATCGTCACAGGTGATGAAAGCTGAGTATATTGCTACGAACACGAAACCAAAAGAGAATCAGCTCAGTGGTGTTTCCTTTCGAGGATCGGCCAACTAAGGTAAAGAAAGGAAGAAGTAAGGAAAAAAGATATGCCTTATTCTTTTGGTGAAAGATTATTTCGCGACAGTTGTGTAGAAGATGGAAGGACAGTAACTGCAGACTGGTATGTCAATGCTTTTTCCTGTTGTTTGGAAAAATTGCGACAGCAGCGCCCTCGAAGCAGGATCCTTCTTCACTCACGACAATGCTTTAGCACACTCCGCAAAACGGACTGTTGAATATTTGACTATGGCAGGTGTCGAGATAATAAGTCAGCTGCCATACAGTCCTGACCTGGCGCCCTGCGACTTTCATTTATTCCCAAGAACTAAAGATAGAATTCGAGGTATTCGCTTTACGAGCCCTGAAGATGCGGTGAAATCGTACGAAAATGCCATAGAAGAGACCCCTAAGGAAGAATGGGCCTACTGAGTTTCACAGTGGTTCCATCGAATGCGAGATTGTAGAAAAGAGATTACTTCGAAAAACAATAAAGTATTGGTAACTTTTTACATTAAGCCGTTTTTTCATTTTCTAAACATTTGTGTTACCTAGGTATTATCGACGATTAAAGTGTTTTTAATTTATGAACCTATCAATATTGGTAAATCAAATAAGATATGGTTTATTTATAAGCTCTGTGACATAATGACAATAGCACTGACAGTAACGCCATTGCTCCGACATAATAAATTACTTTTAATAATAATAATGACTATGGAATCACTATTACTATCGACCATCAAATAGTCGTTACTTTAGTTTAGTTTTCGACTTTCTACACACACTAAGGCATCTTGACTAATTCCCCAGGGCCAATATAATGAAACATCAAGGAGTACAAACAAATTTATTAGCGAAATCAATTGTCACAATGGCTGGTATGACAATAGATTATTAATATTTATTATTACGATAAATGTATAACATCTTAACACCAAATGCTACTCATTCTACTATAAAATGGATACAATTTTAGCCAAATATAAAGCTTCTCTTTGCAAAGCGGTTCAAGTGATTAAAGTTATATTTATTTATCTAACACGTAGAGAAAAAGTTATATAAGAACATTTGAAACGATAGAGAAAAATCCTACAATAAGAGATTATATGCATCAGATACACATCAAACGTCTAACTGCGACGAGTGGAGACGACCTTATCAAATAATGGAAGATCCATTGATACGAACCATTTTACGCTTAAACATACATAAAACATAGTAAGAAATACATTTCATCAGTCCGCATTGCCCATCGCGGAGTGAGGAATTGTAAAGTAACATAATTTAAGTACTAAAAATGGAACACCATCAAACAGTTAACCACAACACCGAGAGAGAAAAATTCTAAGCTATATCGAATATAGTTTTTTTTTTAAATTACTAATCTCTACATAATATATATTCTATTAAAATGATTGTTATAACCATATTGTGGGTATATGAACTTTGCACAACATCAAGTACGACATAAATATGCCTTTAAGGTTAAGGCTTAAAATATTAATTTCCTACATTTACTATTATCTACACAGCATTTCATATTCCAAATCGAATATTCTAAAAAATTTAAATATAATAAAAGTTACAACTAGTTTTTAAGCAATTTTAAACTGCCTCGTGGTGAAATATTCATTTATCTTAGATTAGGTTAAGAAACGGCATAACACTTCAAAAGTTAAATACTTGAACTATGTATATTGCAAAACTACAGGAAATCTTTGGAACCAATTTCTAAAATTTTATTTCAACTTTTTAATTCTATTATTTATGATCGATTATGAAAATCACTGATGATTTTACTCTTTGAATATTTTGACAGTTATGCAAGCATTATATAATTCTTGTCTGGGGTCCAGTGTATTGTGACTAGTTTTACGTTCAATGTGTTATGAAAATTAAGAGTTGACCTAAAGGTTGTAATTAATGCCAGGTCATAAAATCCCAAAAAAAAAAAAATTGTGACTAGTAGAACTAAATTGTGAACTTCGTACTATTTCTAATTGTTCCAGCTTCAACCTTATGCTCAGAAGTAATTTTAATTACACTAACATATAACGACGGTTTACTGAATGGCGCAAACCACCGCATTAAATTATTTGCGCATATTTTTTCTACATTAAGCCAGTTATGATTACTGCAAAATTATCGAGTAGCTACTCCATATATTAAATAATTATCTATTTTGTAAGTTATGGCCTAGTTATTACTACTTGCTAATCTAATAATAAAACCTACTTTAAATAGCCCGCGCTATTTTGACAGCTTAGGTAACAGCTGTCAAAACTCAATTCAAAGCAATTCCTTACAGCTTGACATGACATTGCTCAAGACTAGACTATACCTTGAGATATATATAAAAACCCGCCCGAAAAGAACGTCCTACTAATTATATAAGCTTTCGAAATAATTTAAATAGACATTTAAACATAGTAGACGTCGAAGGAGAGTTGGGCTCAGACAGGTGCTGGCTGTGAGCCATTGGGGGTGGTCACTGGTGGGGTAGTGGGGGTGGTAACAGCTGACGTCAAACGGACCCCGCCACTCTCTGACACTACTACCCCATTGTGTAAGGCGCGCTCCGAGTCCGCGTACGGGGTTGTCAAAATGTGAAGACGCTGTTGAAAATACATGTCGAATCGTTCATAACCTTCTTTGTCTCAATATAAATATATTCAAAAGGTTCAGCTTTAATGATATTTAAATGCTTAAATTCACAATTAGATCCTTGCGAATTAATAATTCTTCGAACACAAGTGTATTTGTATATCATAGACAAAAATAAATAAATACTTTTTTTTTAAATTATGGTAATAGTTTTAACTTTATGCCAGTTTCAAGTAAAAAATAAATACTTACCTCGAAAAAGGTTCCTTTGGTCGTCAAAATTTTATATATGGCAACAGTCGGGATGCAAATGACACTGGAGCCAGCTATAGCCCATCCGAGAGCGTTAGCCCACCATGGGTATATATAGCCTTCGTACTGCAAAGGTTCGTAATCCAAAAGCCCATACACCGTGATAAACAGAAGAAATGCAGGTGCAATAAATCGCCAGCAAATTCGCCAATAAAGGCCAGGTTTAAAGCCGATCATGTCTTGAATATCCTCGCAGAATCTTTCAGTACCTGTATTATTTATATACAATATTTATTATATAATATAAAATGCCTTTCGTTACTTGAAATAACAAAGTAAACTTAATCCTGTTAAATGTTTTTAATGAAAATAAGTGACTCAAATTTTTATCTAAACCTACTAAATAATATATACATATTTTCTAATTGGTTTGGAAAAACCCCTAGGAAGGTCAGTCATAGTCAGTTTATAGACTGTATTGTTAGTCCATTGAAATGTTACATTTTGGGCCTTACCTTGCGTTTTTTAGAGGACGCAATTTTATTTTTTTGATGTGTGGAGGGGGTCAGTGTAAAGCTAAAAAAAGTTTGTGGGGTCGCCCCCTTCCCCCGGCCGCCATCTTGGAAAGAGGGGGCAAAAACCACGTTTTTGCTATATCTCCTAAACTATCCATCGTACATAAAACTTGTAAAAGACACATTTTGTAGCAAATCGCTGTGCCTACAATTATGTCTGTGTAACTTTTTATCATAAATCCAAAATTCAAAAAGTTATAAGTAAAAAAGAGAAAATATTTCCTATTTCTAAAGTTGACTAGGTGCGTCATGACAAGCCGATCAAAACAGCATTTACACTTTTTAAGATCTCTCGTTTATTTTAAACAAATTTTCCAAATATTTTTTTATTCCTACAATTTACTTATTTTCCTGGTGGGGGTTTTCCCCAGAGAGGTCTTCTGATATGGTTAATCTTCGAAAAATATTATCAATCATTATTAGAATGGTAGCTGTCATTAGTCAGTTTATAGACTGTGATTGTGATAAATATTAATGTAATATTACAAAGATGCTAAAGATGTTTTACAAGTTTTATGTACGATCGTTAAAAACGCAACCCCAAATCTTGGACCATAAATATTACTGTAATATTACAAAGATGAAAGATTTTTAGTTTGTAATCGTTAATCTGAACCGATTTCATAGATTATTTCTTCAATCTTAAAGCCACAATATCAGTGAGCAACATAGGCGCATAATGTAGTTTCAGTCATGTTTTAGTCAACATTTCTCTGCGATTATGAAAAGTGATGCGAAAACGGGAAAAATTTCCTATTTAGAGTTTCCCTCATGTTGGTTAAACGCGTATTCAAGAATGATTTCAGGAACTACGAATTCTAATTGAAAAATTGTTAGGTGGTGAATTATCCATTTATTGTGGCTACTACCGAATTAACCTGGTTGAAACTGCAAAGCATATCTTGTAAATATATATAAAAAAAAAATAAATAAAATATATAAATGAAACATACACTAATACAAACTAATACCCCATTGGGAGACCAAATTTAGTTTTTCTCCGCGAATCAAATCCAAGACACTCTTGATTTAATCGTAATTTTAATAGATCAATAAAATAGACGCTTCTACGGGAATCGAATCCAAGACACTCTTGATGAGACGTTTTAATAGATCAATAATACGCAGATATGTTTGATTCATGGGCCTCAAATATAAGCTCTTGGATTCGGGAAGCCAAGCCAAGAGCAAACTTGATTAGACTGATGAAGGAGATATCAATAAAAAATAGATTTTAATAATTTTACGCCACTAAACGGTATATACCATTATGTCTAAACGAAAATGTTATTTTAATAGTTACAAAATTACCGTAAATCCATGACACGGCAATTGCTTCAAAGAAAACAGCGACCAGCATAGAATACCCCGCGGCATATCGATCCAAAAGTTGAAAGAAGTAGAAGCCACCTTTAGTGCACGATGTTAGACCCACAAAGAAATATAATGTGAAGAGACAGGCCACAAATATCTCCCTGTGACGACCAATTGGGGGATATTCGTCACTCAATGCAGTTATAATCGCTTCCGAACCACCAAACTGTAGATCAAAGAATACTGTTTACGTGTTGAAGTTTTCTTTGTTGTCCTAGCCTAGAAATTCGAGTGGGTAATCCATATATATGTAGGGGACATATTACTCTTATTGACGTAGTACTCATACTGACTGAGACATAAACGAATATACAGCCTAATTTAAGACTTGATTAGCTAAAGGAAACCCTTATTTACTTAACAGAATTTATAAGAAGAATGTTTCTAACCCTATAGGGTCTCAAACGTTACATCGTTCTTGTATTTATGATCCGCGAACCTTATACAAATAATACTTAAGTTAAAAGTAAAACAAAAAACGGTTCGTGGTACGACAGTAGACTTAGGTTTACATATGTGCACAAAATTTACCTTTAACATACGTATATGTAACGCTTTAATCTATAAGAGAAATGTACTCTAATTATTAAGATGAATTATATACGATATATACGAGATGGACGTGTTTACTTGATTCCCTACATCATCCTGACATCGACCTTGCCGCCGCAATGTGCCCGAAAACGAAGGAGAATTTCAGAGGTGTAAATTTAATTCCATACTGCGATCTAAACTCTCGAAAAGCATTTATACGTACAGTTTTATCTGCAGGAAAGCGAAATAGAAGTTTGAACCGCAGTTCACTGTTTTACAATTGAACCGTAAATAGAAGCACAGATGCCGCGGTCTAGTCTGCACGATTTATCTGAGATGGAGCGCAGTTCCAAAATCCTTCCGAACTGGTGTAAATTGCTAATGACTGATCAGTTAAATGAAAACATCTCTTATCTTAGTTTCCGATTTGATATTCATTTGTAGTAAGTACACTATTAGTTATTACAATTTCAGATAACTCTTTGTAGCTAGGTATCGAGTTGCTTACAAAAAAATTCAAATTTGTAAAGGAAAGTATTCAGTCGAGATTTAGCGCTAAGTTGACTATTAATCTAAAGGTGAACTAACCTTAAAGGCTGTGAATCAATAAACAATGTACTTACAGAGCTATCCAAACCCAAAGTTAGCAGCATCATGAAAAATATTAACGCCCAAAATGTGGATCCTGGCATAGTTGCTATAGCTGCTGGGTAAACGACGAATACAAGGCCAGGCCCCTCGGTTGCCACATCCTGAACATCTTTACCAGAAGTATAAGCCATGTACCCCAACACGCTGAATATGACGAAACCAGCCACGAAAGAGGTGCAAGAGTTTATAACGCTCGTCAAAATGGCATCCCTGGAAAATTTTCACTGTAATGAGCCTATATGTCATAAGAAGAATAAACAGAACTTACTCGTAATTTCTTAAAAATTATTATAAACTTGCATAGCGCATACTAATACATAAAAGAACTGAGCATAATCATGGATTTGAGTTGGGCTTATGACAGTTGAGGGTTAGGTAAACATTTTAAAAAAGTTTTCATCTATGTTACATTGTAATTGTATCCACAAATAGAAATTTTCAACTTTTTATATTGGTTTCAATTCAGCTAACTTGATTCTATGGAAATTATATGTTTTGATCTTGTCCAAAGGGGACTTGAAATTTCAGCAGTTTACGGTGAGTATATCTATAAATTTTAATTCTAAAATCTATATCTAGGAAAATTAAGCCTAAGTCGCATAGAAAAACATTTAATTTTGTATCGCGCGTTATACTTTTTTATACAAATCTATCTTTGTTTTAGACTTCTAGAAAAGTACAAAAAAAATCGAAGAAATAAAACAAAAATTAGTTAATTGAATAGCAAATAAAAACTATGAATAATAGTAATTATAAGTAATACTTGTAAACGTTGTTGTGATATTTATTATACGACGCATATGCCAATAGCACGCCAAAACCTGGACCCAAGGAGAAAAAGACTTGCGTGGCAGCGTCTACCCACACCTGAAATAATAATCATTTTATTTATCAAATTCTTTCACATTTATTTATTTGCAAGATTACGTTATATAACATTATTATTTATGGTGAAATAATTAGACACGCATAGAAAGAAGGTAGGCTGCTTGAAAAGTAAGAAAATCTATGAAGGTAGAAATGTGTTACGAAACTTTTTCAATATTTCCTGCAGCCTTAGTTCCAAATTCCGAATCTCAGGACAGCGGTGAATTAACTGTTAATTAAGTAGTATGTTTGACTACTAATAAAAACTACAGCTACTTAGGCTTAAAACTTTAAACCAGGAAAATATTAGTAATTTCGGTGATCATATAATGATCATATAATTATGTTACCAATATTACATTAAAAAAATTAAAATATGTTTATAATGGAATATAAGATACAGGTATCACTTATTCCACGTCATTAAATTTGAATAGGTAGACATCCCTACTCATCGGCAAAGAAGACAGAGGGTGTAGGCCGAGAGAAAAAACTCTCGGTACTCTTTTAAAACAACACTTATTTTAAAACAAATATCGGAAAATTATTAGAAGAAGCCTGTCTAGCACTAGTCCCAGGCCCTTTTTAAAAATATATATTATCATAATTATTATCAAAATTGTGTTTATATCATGAGTGTATGTGTATGTGATTTTAATCATTAAATATTAAACATGATATTATACCTGTGGCTGACCTATCGCTTCAAAATTAGGACTCAAATAATACGCAATTCCTGTTGCTGAACCGGGAAGGGTGATCCCTCGTACCAAGAGAATTAGCAAAACAGCATAAGGAAATAGAGCCGTAAACCAAACCACCTGAAAGAAACGGGTTTATTTGATAATTAAGCCAGCAGTAGTTCTGCTTAACGTATTCTTATGGCAGTTGATATAGGTATGAATAATATACCCGATGACCTAATATAAGTTTTTCATTTTCTTATTAAGTATATTATATTATTCGTGATCCTACGCGCCAAATGCGACGATTTGGCGTCATTACTCTTTTTTTTCTAAGTGTTCTAAATAATTAGATCCTTAAAGAAATTTGACATATATTGTGAATTTGACTAAATAAATTATGTTTTTAAAATTAAGCGCAATGCTTAGATTACGATATTTTAGATTGTAACTTAGCGATCGTAGCTATTAAAATATGTACTCACTTTGCCAGACGTACTAATACCTTTCCATAAGGAAAAGTAGCAAATAATATAAACAGCCAGCAAGCATAAAGCCATGTCCCATTTAATTGCTCCCAGATCGTGAAGCCCTTCACTGTCTTGTAGTTCCAGTATTGCCCGACTAAAAAAATACTTGATTTAGTGCGAAAATTTCCCTAAAATGTTTACTTTTGCCCTATGGTATACATATTACATATGTTCTGCCCGATGAGTTTGTCAGAGTAAAAATCTCTTTATTTAACAAGTGATGGATGGAAATATTATATAAATATCTTACTTGAAATATTCTGAAGCTGCTGATGTGAATGGTGTAGCTCGAGGTGCCATGGATGAGCTATTACGAACTCGGCTTGCATTTGCTGACTCCCAGTTGGCTTCGAACTAAAAATATCCTTAATTCTAAACGAAATATCTTAAAGTTATTTTAAAGCCAAGTTCCAAAGGTTTAATTATTTTATGGAAGTCATAGGATCCATTCAAGGAATATAACAATTGTTTCGGTTCTTTTTTTTACAGTATGTTTTCATTCACGATTTTTGATATTTTAAACAAAACTTACCGGTTGACAAGCCGGTGTGTTCCATTCATTATCGCAGTTGGTCCATGGTAGCATGGTGGTGAAAGAGGCGAAGAAAAAACGAAGAGCCCATGCGATGATAACGTTGTAGTAGAAGTCGACGTAGAAAGCAATCAAAACCACAGCATAACCTATGCCTAATAACATATTTTTCATAATATATTTAATACTTATCGTACTCATAGTATAGAATATTTTGATAACCATCTTATATTAATATAAATAAGTATTAATAACTGTTTCAAGAACATCAACACAATGTCAATAATGAGTTAAGCTATTTATAAAAATCCTAAATATATAATGAAAGTAGTACTTAATAACCTTAAAAAATAGAATATAATAACTAAAATATATATATATTATATATTATTAAAAGGAGTCCCTTTAGGCAAGGCTCCGAAGATACTGGCAGTGTTTCCCCTTTGAATAGCTAGACTAATTCTTTGTCCGTTTGGACAGATTTAGAGAAGCATTGGTCTATAGAATGCCATTTCTGTGTGGCAACTCATCCCCTAATAATTTATACAATACTTTTTTGGATCATTTATTGATGAATTCAAGAAAGTATTTACTCAAAAGACTTTATTGGTCTCTGAGAAAACAAGTTTCTGTGACTGGGCAAATGAGGAGTTACACAGGAAAAGGTTAAAATTATATGAAATCTATGACGAAATGCAATATAACACTAGTGTGGAATTTAGGGAATATGTTAGGTTGTATTCAAATAATTTCAAAAAAAGATTGCAAAACTGCAAAGTCTCAATATTTAAGTTCAAAAATAAAAAATAGCATGGATAAAGTAAAAGCTACCTGGAAAATAATAAATGAAGAATCAGGTAAAACGTCTGACACAACGAACTGATTATATGTTAAAAGTTAAAGGGAAGTTAAAAAAATCTGACCCAGAGGTAGCTTCTTCTTTTGAAGAGTTCTTTACAAATGTACCACTAAATACGACCAAGTCCCTAGATTCTTCACCTGCTGCTGCGATCTCATTCTAGAAAAATGTGTACCTGAATGTAATATTAAATTTCAGTTTAAACATATAACTTGTAATGATATCGTTAAAACTTTAAGCTTATTAATTTAAAAAAAAGTAAAGATATATGGGGTATGTCAACAGTCATTTTAAATTCCGTTATTAATGTAATAAGCTCTGAATTGTCTATAATAATTTTAACAGATGTATCGATTGTGGAGTCTTTTCTGACGAAATGAAATTAAGTAAGATTACACCGTTGTTCAAGGCCGGTAGTGAGTCTGATCCGTCAAACTTCAGACCTGTTCTTGCGTTCCCTGGGTTGAGAAAAGTTTTTGGAAAGATAATGCTAGACCAGCTTTCTTTACATTTTAATAAAAATAAACTCTTACATAATAAACAGTATGGTTTCACTAAGGGTCGCTCCACAATCGATGCCGGTGTGAAGTTGATTTCGGACATATTTAACGCCTGGGAAGAATCATATGATGGAGTCGGCGTCTTTTTGTGACCTGTCAAAGGCCTTTGACTGTGTTCATCCTGATAACTTGTTGGAAAGCTTCAAATCTATGGCGTTGATGCAAGATTCAACCTGATGAAGCATATTTAATAAATGACCTCCCATTCTTTGTCAACGAAGTTCATGAGATGGTATTTTTCGGTTGAAACTTCCCTTTTTTTTAAAGTGAAGCGGAATAACTTCTATTCAAAGTAAATAAATGTATTTTTGTGTAGTTAAATTCTGGTTTAATGTAAATAACTTATTGCTTAATGAGAATAAAACAAAATGTATTAGATTTACAACTGGTAAGGAAGTGATTTAAATTGAAAATAGACGTTGCAAACATTGTTGACAACTTTCTAGGCAAACAATTATTAACATTTTAAACAAATGGTCGGACGGAACAAGAATTCGTGGTCTGTGCCTGCCCTCGAGAAAAGGCTTCATGATCATAAATAAATACATTAATTATATATAAATTTAAGCTTTTAAAAAATTCCACAATTAAAAATTATTACGTTCTACCTAAAATAGAATACTTGTATGACAAACTTGGCGATTAAAAGACTGTAGAAAGTCACCAAATTCCTTAGTATGACTTGCGAAATTGTAGCAATCGTAAATTTAGATTAACTTAACTTGGAAAAGATATTTGATATTTGAGATTGTTTTGAGATTGCTTAGGGCCGCGTCGGTTCCCTCGCAGGTCAAACAAACCTCATTTTATATTTCCTTAAAGCCTTATAACGCTAGGACCCCACGGACCAAGGCGACGGATGTAAATTGTAAATGGCTCAAATATAAGAGTATGTTCTCCAACTTTGATTTTGTTCCCTTTTTAGTAGAGCCGTGGGGTTTAATTGTACAGGCGCTAATTATTGTTGGCGCCTGGTACATAGTACCGGCGACCCCAGAGCTGGCTGGGGCTTTCCTCGCTCAAAACTTTTTAAATTTGTTTTAATTTTCTATTTATCTTTAATCATTAAGTATATTTAATTATTATTACTTTGTAAGTTAAGAATATTGTAAATACTGTATATTTGTGTGTTTAAATTCTCTTTAATCATAAAAAAATGTAAATTAACAACTGTAAGCAAGTGCTTTATAACTAGACAAATACTCAATATCATAGTTAAAAAAATTAACAAACAATTATTAAATTTAAAACAGAAGTCAGGACGGTAGCAAGTGGAGATCCGTGGTCTCTGCCTGCCCCTTCGAGACAAAGGCGTGATGATATAAATAAATACATTAATTATTTAAATTTAACTTAAATTCCACTAATCTAAAACTTATCACGTTCATCTACCTAAAATCAGAGTATAGTATACACTTATTAACAAGCCTGTAAAGTCATTCCTGAGATGAGGGAAATAGTAGCAATGGACACAGAAACACTTGGAAAGGTCTTTGATTGATGGATATTAATGAACGAGATGAAATAGCAGACGACGGAGGCATGATATATTTTATTTATTCTATATGTAAGACTTTGATGTTACGTAATTACCACGTATGGAGCAGTGCTGGCCTAGTAGCTTCAGCGTCCAACTCTCACCCCTGACATCGTAGGTTCGATCCTCGGATGTGCACCAATGGATTTTCTTTCTATGTGCGCATTTAACATTCGCTCGAACGGTAAAGGAAAACATCGTGAGGAAACCGACATGTCTTAGACCCATAAAGTCGATGGCGTGTGTGAGGCACTGGAGGCTGATCACCTACTTGCCTATTAGATTTAAAAATGATCATGAAACAGATTCAGAAATCTGAGGCCCAGACCTAAAGAGGTAGCGCCACTGATTTTTTTATTTTTTATTATTACGTATTCAAAATAATGAGAAAAAAAATATTATTCTATTATTTCCAGACCATTAGATTCTATCCCTCTAAAATCATATCATACGCCACTCAGCGCAAGACGTGACAATCGAGTCAAATAAAATCACTGAACGTAAGCCTCGAAAATCTGCGCCTTTGAAAATCGTATGGCAGCGGCGAGCACTTAAGGGGGGTGAAATGATGTCAATTATGACGTAGGTACGAGTAAGTGCTTCGGAATTACGGTCTACATATATCTAAAATTATTATATTACGGCTAGTGTACGAACGCGTCGTTATCCGTAGGATAAAAGCGTAAATATAGGCATTCGCTTAAGTTTATTAAACTTTAAAAGCAAAAACGGAGAAGACGGAAACGCCTAAAGAAGCCTCAGAAGAAGAAGTGGTTTACGTGTTGAAGTGATTACACTATGAAGTTTAATTCAGAAAATGAATTATTTAGTAAAGATTTTATAACTATAAAGTCAAAGTCAAATCATTTATTTCAATTAGACCACCTAAAATCAATTTACTTTCTTACAAATTTATAGAGTTTAGACTTGAAAGGCTGTTTTATTTTTCTTATTATTAGTTTTATCAACGTTCAATGTATGCACACCCAATTTTCCGTAGTTAAAAAAGGAAATACTATTCGTTGAGCATTAGGCAAAATTGTTAGTTTTTGTTATTCTATATTACTTACCCTTAAACAACGGAACGAGCCTGCCCCAGCAAGTAATAGCTCCTTTGCGATGGAACTGACCCAAAGCCAGCTCCATGTAGAAGAGCGGAATGCCCCCAACCACCAGCATGATACAGTACGGTACCAAGAAAGCCCCTAAAAAGGAAAAACAGGGAAGAGTGAACCTACTGCCCAGCGAAGATTTAACAAATGTAATAAGGGTTTCCTTGGCTTTTAGAAGTCCGGATTATTTTAATTTGTTTCTTTGGAACTCAGTTTAATTGAAAAATAATAAGAAAAACTTTAACCCCAAGGTTGAAATACTTATGTCTATTTTACTAATCAATACTATTATTTTCGATCTAAAATTATAATTGTTCCAGGAATTGAACCCAAAAATGTTGGTGAACCAAGCCACTAAGTTCTATGTTCGCTCTAATAGTTACAGTAGATAATACGAAATCCTATCAGTTTCAATAAAGGATTTATGAAGGTGATAGAGGATTAAAAATAATAAAAAACCAGCCAGTAACTAATTAATATTTTCTACAAAAAAGGAAATCCTCTTAAGGTAAAAACTTCATTCATTCTAAGATCATAGGTCGCAATTCTCGGGACAATAATTTCATATCGACGGGAGGGCGAAGCAAATTGCGATAATTGGCCTTTTAAGACTCGCATTTGAAGCTTTTATGAGACTTGAGACATTTTACAATAGTCACGACTCTCTCTACTTCACTTCCATTGTCGTTGATAATATAGTCAATTACTATAAAAATATTCCCGGACCTGTTTGACGTTTCGACGCTGCACTCTGACACACTTATACAATTAAAGTCTGCACTATAAGTTAGACAATATTCTTCCTTTATTTAGATTAGCTACAGATCAGTTCAATGGATCAGTAGCTATTTTGTGTGAAGATTTTGTCTATATTTGCGAAACACGACATAGCTTTGCGTTCATATAATATTCTAACTAGACATTTGGGCGTTATTATATACGTAGATATATAAACAAAAAATAAAGTACCATGTGATTATATACCATATAAAATTAAATTACTATTTAATTGAATCCTTAGAAAAAGATTTTATAAAAAAAAACATTCACAATTGGAGCCATATAATGCAAGTAAGCAGCAAGTAAACTATAGTAATTTCTGTCTTACAATTGTGAAATGAGATGCTTCCGTTATGGACCAATCAGGGGCAATTTACAATATTACCACCTACATATTTCCATATAACACTTCTATCTTGCTGTTAACTTATAAGGCCCTTAATATGTAGTATATAAGTAATAAAATCAAATTCTTATTATCGTTCATGCAAATTATCAAGAAATTTCAAATATATCTTAAATAAATCTTTAACTGTAAACAGATATAATATGTGTACGTGATATTATGACGTGCATTTTGTTTCAATAGTAAAGAAACAGTCATCGAACAGAGATCGCACATCAGCGCTCCGAAATGACATTTAAAAATTTAAATATTGTATAAAACTATTCAAAGATTGTATAACAATAGTTTAGTAGATTTCAAGTTACAATGGAGTAATATAAAGTAAGTCCTGCTTTAATTTCAAATCTTGGTTGCGCTATCGCTTATAAATCAAGTAGTATCAGAAGGGGAGAAATGGCAAGGATTTACTTTATTGCCGGATGCAACAGGTCGAGAATAAAGAGGATCTCCGCCTAAGTCGACCAAAGTGTCTTAAAAGTTCCCCGCACTTAACTCGGGTTGAGTTATGCCCTATTTTATGTCTCTGTTCTCACATGGTTGGAGCTTTTGTCGTTGAATTGTGAGATTTTGCTTTAACGATAAGTCTTTAGCCTATTCTAAATTTAAATTCAAATCTTGACATACGCATCTGAATCTAAAATATAAGTGTGTTCAGTTTAATATATTTATTATAAATTTACTTTAAATTATTACTGTCAAACACTCCCATAAACATACAATTTACTTATATAGAGGTGTCAATAAGATTAATGATTAGTCATATCAAAGACAATTAAAGTAAACTTATTATTGTCTATAGTCCTATTATGTAACCTCTTTGTATCTATATTTTTTGGTTAAAGAAATAAAATGTTTGTATCTGTGACGATCGTACATTGTTTTATTAATCTAGTCATTAACAATAAATTTCTTTTTAAATTTCAATTTATCATCCAAATATTCTTGTAAAAGAATCTCGACGCAATTCCCCAGTGTAACAAGTACCGGTATCCAGATGATTGGGTATTATGAGATTTCCTTCGAAACTGAATTAAATCCGCAAGGGTCCGATACTTATCGATATTGTTTCCATTTCAAGTGGAAATTAGTTTATTGACTTATTTAAGGTTCGCTGAATAAAAGATTCAAATGTTTCACTTCATTTGTTTTATAGTATTTTTTAGCTGACTTAAAAAACTGAATCAATTCAATTATGCGTGAATGTTATACCAAGTAATATTTGGATATACTTTTCAATCAAATGATGAATTTGTGTCTTTACTTCTTTTTAATAAATCAGTCTTATTTGATTGTTTTAAATAAAGTACTCTTTTGTTTTGTGATTTATAATTTCGCTCACAATAATAACGACACAATTATAATTGTACTTGTAATATTAATTATATTGTACAGCATTGCAAATGCGTCGCAACTAAAAGATGAGCTAGGGCAGTGATGCTAACTCCTACAGAATGTTTCCCCTAGAACCAACTTCAAATGCCCCTAAAGATTTTTGCTGTACTAAGTGTAGATAAGAGAGATAATTTCAAATATTACAAGTAGTATAAAATTTCGATCTTGGAGTATTGTAGCTTTTTGATTTTTCAGTTATAGCCACACTATGCATTTATTAAGTTAATTTTGTTGGTCGGGTTGGGCTTAGTATGAATCGTGCTTTATTACAAAAAGATATTGTGTAAAGTACACCTTAAAAATTCCTCTAAATAATTGTATCTCCTAAGACACTGAGTCAGGGTAATTTAAGAGCCATGACATATTTTTATCCGAACTAAAAGTTTAGTATTCATTTCATTATTTTGTTTATAATTTAAGACGTGTAAAATAGGTAATAGGTTTATACACCCTATTACTTAGATTCAAGAAAGCAATAAAAAGCAGTTTCTATTTTGAATATCTATCAAATAAATTCATATTACATTTTATTAAGGCAAGTATCAAATCTTCTATTATTGGATTTGCCTTACGCGACTGCTCAATTTATTAAAGATGTGTCAAGTGCATTACTTTATCTGGCAATTTAAATCAAATTGTGTCTGCTGTCTTCTATCTCTAGACTAGTGATTCCCAAGCTTTTTTGTGCCATACCCTATCTTAGCCTTTCTTAATTTCTTATGCCCCCCAAATTGTTAATATTTAAACATTGAATTGTTCACTAAAGATTGTTAAATGATAGGTTTTAGGAAGAAATAACTAGGAAATTGTTAACGAAACACAGTAAGTAAATTTTAATAATGTAATGAAAAACTGCATTTCAATTTCCAAATAATTTTAATAATAAAGTTACAATAATACGCGTTAAATGTATACGTTAAGGAATTTTTATTTAAACTTCTGATCTCAAGATATCCTTGTTACAATGAAAAAATAACGGTTATTATGACCATCAATTTTCCGTTAATGAAAGTCAAATCGTGAATGTGAGTTGTCTCGGTAACTGACGCGTGACTGATGTATGTGACCCTTTCGTATGATGAAGGGGCACAATCAATTAAGGACCACACCGACGTTAACTACATTCTGAATTGGATCGAAATAAAAAGAATTAGCGCCAAAGTCCGACTATATTCCCAAACATGTTGTACATGTGTATGAAATAAAAATCACCAAAAATCCTAATTTACAATAACAATTTAAAAAGGCTCCGCAGTCTCATTCGATCCAAAACGTTTTTTAAGGCAGTTTGTGCCGCGCACCAATATATAGAATCAGCAGCCAATGAGGTATTTCCGAACCAATTCGACTTAGGGTCCTTCAAGAAAAGAGCATACCAAATCTTAGGTACCATTTAGGTGAGAGAGCATTAAGTGAGCCTCCTGCCCGTTTGCCCCCGTTCTTAAAAAAAACGCAATAATTGTAGTAAAAAAATATAAACTTGGAGTTCATGCGTAACATCAGACCATAAAAAGTTAAGATATGAATGCGACCCCAATCACCATATTCATAAACTTACTATAAACGACAATTAAATGTACGAATTACTGTAGGATATTAAAATACAATATTAAATTGTTTAGATTTATCTAAAGATGATGTAAATATTTTATTTGAAAAACTTATTATAAAACGTAAAAGTCCGAGTAAAAATTATTGCAGGATAAAATGTACATAACACCAACACAAGGAACAAAGTTAATGGTCCAGTGCTTCGCGAAATTGAATTATTCACAGCTAAAGGCGCCGTCATAGGCAAAGGCCACGATAAATAAATTTCCGGTGCGATCTCCGACACAGGCCTTCAAGGATTATAATATCGCTATATAATTAGATCTGGGGCCGATCGGACCTCCTTTCTCCATTACCTTATTACCCTCCCATTATTGCGTTACTAATTTTCCTGCACGTCGACAACTAACGAAGTTTCGGAGCGCGCTTTGATTGTCAATTACATCTTGGACGGCAAAGGGACAAAGTGGAGGAAAGGGATGTAATTAGTATTGGAAAGTTTGTTTTTGAAGATGTGAGTTGCAAATAGCTCTCGGCAAATAAGTTTAGTGCGTACTGATCGTTTCTAGATTTTTCTTCTAATTGAATACACGAACGGGCCAAAACGTGCGGAGAAACATTGGACCATTTATGTTTCATAAATTATCACTCACGTAAAAAAAATTCAACTATTCAAGGTCGTCTATCAAATTATTTAAACTAATATTATACATTATAATTATTAATAGCAATTTTTTTGTAAAATTTTTCTAAGATATCTCTATCATTTTTTATTTAGCATTTCCTTGTCAATATTCCTGTTTGTTTCTTTAATATCCCTTCTAAAAATGGGTGATTTTATAAACGCGTTTAACTGCTTTTATTTATTCTAACAGACTATCACTCATAGTGCTTCATAAACTTAACACCATGTTAGCGTGTAAGAACCTCTGTATTTTTATAAATAATTTCTCGCACTCTCATCAAAATACTTGTTACTCTTATTATAACAGTACAATTAGCCAGAGCGATATGTTAGCGTCATGGCATAGCAGGAGTCACGCAATCAAAGATAGTAGAACGTCTCTTCATGTCAATGACCGTGACCCTGGCCTCGCCCTTGATCATAATTGTATGAATACACTATGCATAAATCGAACATACATTTTCCTTGCACACTGCATCTCCATTACCTTGAACTAGGGCTTAAATCCGAGGGAAATATTTCGTGTTCAATTAGTGCAGTGAGCGCTCTCAAGCAACAGAGGCTTAGAAACAAGAAGCTGTCGGTCGGTCATTAGACTTCAAGGGCACTATACACGTCCTGCATGCAATCAGACTGTACTGCAAGGTGTAGGAATTGTTCACAATATAGCTTAAAGTATAACCGATATTTTAAGTAGGAGGATTTACAGTTATTACAGTATATTTACAATTAATTTTAACTTGACAATTCAAAAGTGTACTTGGTTACCCACTTGAATAAAGATATTTTGAGTTTGAGAAAAGATACAGTAAAAGTTTCTCAAAAACGAGGAAAATAATAGTTTAATTATAATTAACCTACTTTGTTTTGACATTAATAATTATTTGAATAAGTGAGAACTAGTTGAAAGTTCGTATATAATAAAAAAATACATTTAATGGGTTCAAAGTATAGGTTATTTCTGAAATAAACAACACGAGTTTGCTCAAAAACAGTTGTTGATATAAAAAAATAGTTGGAATCTGTTTAAACTTTTTATTTTTTAGATGTCAGATTAAATTAAAAATTGTCCTTTTTTCAACTCCTAGCTTCGTCATATACCTAGTATATCAAATATTTTTTTATGAATTCAACTGAATTACTTATAATTATTACTTTCTTTATAAAATGAATGCCGTGTTAGTGCATGTGTGTTTTATGTTCATATAAAATTAATTTGTTTATAATCATCAGTTATTAATCTAAACCCAGATCCAACATTACACTGTAGATACAAATCAAAAAATTTCAGTACTCAGCACTTTTTACGCCAGTAAATATATTGTAAAAGTCACGTAGAGTTACTGATATCAAAGTGAACACAACTCAAACTAGCAATGAAGCGACAATTAGCGTGGCAAGTGGTGGCGAGAGGCACTTATCTAAGGTCGTTTCACTTGCTTGTACCGACCCTTAGTAGTGTCTTATACCGAAATTGCGAAAATGTATTAAGTTTTTCCATAGGAAATTTGGGCATTTTAGATAAAAGACTTTATTGTCTTCTGTTATATGACTCGTCCCACTTTTGTTGGTCATCAAATTTATAATAGTGATATATGTCTAGTATGTGTTCGTAATTACATTGCGTCATCTACTCTTGACAATATATTTTAATGAAATACGAGTATTTATAAAAAACGTAATTAATCGTCGACGCTGTAATGTTATGGTAATTAATGATTGAAGAAACCAAATGAAAATTCTTATAACGTGTAGACTAAAATTTTAATATGTTAAATATATTATCTTGCAAAAAAACTAATTTTAAATTAACTAGCCGCAATGCTATAGATATAAAAAAGTTTCGCGCTGTATTCTCGATTTTTATTCGAAGTTTTCTCCTAGCTTACCTCCTCCATTCTTGTAGCAGAGGTAAGGGAACCGCCAGACGTTTGCGAGGTCGACAGCGAAGCCGATGACAGAGAGAAGAAAGTCCACCTTCTTGCCCCATGTCTCGCGCTCGCCGCCCGCCGGAGTCGGCGTCTTCAGAGACATTCTAGAGGAAGACTCGCCGCCACAACCTGGAAAAAAATAACATGTCAACTATGAACTGGTATTACGCATAATTTTAGTCTGTATAAGCTATGTCTACATCTACGGACTTAGTCAAAATCAAAAAAATCAAAATCAGTGGCGCTACAACCTCTTTTAGGTCTTGGCCTCAGATTTCTGAATCTGTTTCATGATTATTTTTTAAATCTAATAGGCAAGTAGGTGATCAGCCTCCAGTGCCTGACCCACACCGTCGACTTTTTGGGTCTAAAGGCCGATTTACATTATCTTAGTGTTTAGGAGAGTGCTTTAGGATAGTACTTTAGTTGAAACATGTAAACGCTACTTGCTTTAGTAAACGCTTCTTGCTTTAGTACGGTTCTACTTGACTTTCAAGTTGAATCAAAATAGAATCGCTTTTTATTTTTGTTTCAAGTGATACCCCTCTCGCGCCCGCGCACCCCCCGAGATCTTCCCTCGTTGTGTGTAAACACGTAATTTAGTCAAATCTTTAGGAGAGTGCATAAGTGCCGTGAAACGCGTGCGTGTTTTTTGATTTTTAAAGATGGCTAAATGGTCGGAAGATACAACTATCAAATTTGTGTCTGAATATGTTGTTCACGAATGTTTGTGGAACGTTAAAAACAATTTATACAAAAACAAACCGGCTAGGCATTCGGCATACACTGCCTTAAAAGAAGCTATTTTGTTTATGATTTATATTTAGTTTATTTATTTCGAATAAAATCTCGTCTTCTATTTTGTTCCATAACTACAGTTAGTATTTTGCGTAGAATAGAGCGTATTTGCCGACGTCGTTGTTCACTCGCAGCGCACTAAAGCACTAAAGAACTTGCCTTTCAAAGTTGTACTAAAGCACTCTCCTAAACACTAAGATAATGTAAATCGGCCTTAAGACATGTCGGTTTCCTCACGATGTTTTCCTTCACCGTTCGAGCAAATGTTAAATGCGTACATAAAATGAAAGTCCATTGGTGCACAGCCGGGGATCGAACCTACGACCTCAGGCATGAGAGTCGCACGTTGAAGCCAGTAGGCCAACACTGCTCAACACACTGCACAACAACGCACTTAGTCAATTGTAAAATTTTAAATTTGCCCATACCATAATAATTGGAGTTTTCATAAATTTTCTGTTTTCATTATTTAATATTAGCTGGGAAGTTAGCGTCTCCGGGGAAAATCATCCTGCATTAGGAGTCCACATTTTATGAACATTTTTACAAGCAAAAATTTACATTATCGTATTATTAATATTGAAATATCTTTATATATATAATTCTTCTGTGAGTGTGTATGTCACTGAACTTCTCTCAAACGACTGGACCGATTTTGATGCAATTTTTTGTGTGTGTTCAAGGGTATCTGGGAATGGTTTAGATTCACAAATCAGCCCGGCAGATGGCACTGCAGTCGGTACTTTCATACTTTGCTTAATATTCTTATCGCTTTAAATATCATGCAGGACAACGTCTGTGGGGTCCACTAGTAACATATAAAAAAGACATAACGTTGTCTACTTCATAGAAAAGGCTTCGATTCAGGATGCGAACCTACATTATAGGTTTTTATTCAATATTTTTTTCTAGCATTAAGTAACATTATGTTTTAATATTAATAACCAAGCCTTAAATTCCATTAATATAGCTTTAGTTATTCTTAAAAGCTGTCCACACTGAATCGGCTATTTACGGAGCGCACAGTTATGTGCACAGCCCTGCGATTCTGTAACTCACTTTTCGAACTCACACAGCGGTTTTCCCCCCACCCCCCCCCCCGCGCCGCCCCCCCGCCTTCCTCTCCCTCACCCCCAACCACAAAAAAAAAACTATTAATTATATTTTTCAAAAAATAATCACCCAAAATTTTTTTTCCTATTTTTTCTTTTATTAAAAATTTTTTTTTTGTCTTTTTTTTTTGAAGGTTTTTAGAATTTGGGAAGAAAGTTTGAAAAGGAAAAGAAAAAAAAAAGATAAAAATAAAAAAAAAAAAAAAAAAAGAAAAAAAAAAATTTTGAAATAAATGAGGTAAAATGAGTGGATTATTGTAATTTTTTTTGTTTTTGTTTTATATTTTTTTTGTTTTTTTTTAACTCTGTTTTTGGGAAATCTTTATTTTGGGGGGCGCTTCGTGGCCGGGGGGGGTGGTGGCGGCTACGGGGCAGCCCGGCGCCGAAATTGGGGCTGTCGCCTCCCCGCTTTTTCTCTCTTCCCCTCCCTTTTTTTCCTTTTCCTCCCTTTTTTCCTTTTTTTTCCGGGATTGCCGAAAAAAAGTTAAGAAAAAACCGGAGAGAGGGAGAGGGGGAGGAGAAAGAAAAAGAAAATTTGGGGGGGGAGTATGGATTAGTATTAGAAAAAGGAATTGGGAAAGGGGGGGAGGAAAGGAGATGGGAGGGGGAGGGGGTTTTTTTTGGGTGTTGTTTTACTGGGTTGGGTTTTGCTTTTTTGGGTTGCGGGACGGCGGGCCCGGGGGGGGTGCGCCTCCGGGGGGGGGGGGCGTTTTCCTCTTGTGGGCGGCTTGTCCTTTTTTCGGTTTCCCCCCCCCCCTCCGCCTCCCCTCTCTCTTTCCCTATCAGCCCCCCCCCGGCTCACGCTTTATTTGTTTTTGCGGCTGGTGTTGGGGGTTTTTGGGGTGGGGTTGGGCTTTTTTTGTTTTTTTTCCCTTTTTCCCCCCCGGAAATTTTTTTTAGATCTTCTGGGGGGTTTTTTGAGAAGTTTTGTTGTTTTTTGTGGGTGGTTTTTGTTGGGTTTGGGGGTGGTGGGGGGGGGTGGGGGGGGGGGTGGCCGCTTTCGGGGCCGGGCGCCGCCTTTTTCTCCTTCTGCGGGGGTCGTTTGGGCCCCCGGCGCCCCCCGCCGGGGCCCCGCCGCCTCTCCGTCGGGGGCCCTTTTTTTGCTTCCGCTTTTGCGGGGAAACCCCCTTTTTTTTTCTTTTTTTTTCGGGGGGGGGGGGGGGGGGGGGGGGTTTGGTGTTTTTTGGGGGGGGGGGGGGGGGGGCCGGGGTTGGGTTGTGGGGGGGGGGGGGGGGGGGGTCTTCCTTTTTTTTCCCCCTTCGTTTTGGGTGGGTTGTTTTTTTGGGGGGGGTTTGTGTGGGGGGGGGGGGTTTTCTCTCCCCCGGGGGGGGGGTTTTTTTTTTTTGGGGGGGGGGGGGGGGGGGGGGGGTTTGGTCGCCCCCCCCCCCCCCCTCTGTTTGGTGGGTTATTTTTTGTTTTTTGTTTGTTTTTTTTTTGGGGGGGGGGGGGGGGGGGGACGATGTTTGGTTTTTGTTTTTGTTTGGGGGGGGGGGGGGGGGGTTTGTGGGATTGAAATGGGATTTTTTTTTTGTTTGCGATCTCTTTGGGGGGGGTTTTCCTTTTTGGGTCTTTTGGTGTTTGGGTGTGTGGGGGTTTTGTGGGGTTGGGTTTGGTGTTTTGTTTTGGGGTTGGGTGGTGGTGGGGGTGGGGGTGGGGTTGGGTTCTGTTTTGGTGTGTTGTGGGGGCGGTTGGTTCTTTTTTTTCACTCTCGCCGGGGGGGGGGGGGGGGGGTTGTTTTTTTTGGTGGCGAAGAACAAAAACACGGGGGGGGGGGGGGGGGGCATAGGGGGGGGGGTTCCTATCCTTTTAATGTTTTTTATTGAAGATAATCTCGCATCATGGCAGTTCGCTATTGATATTTCAAGCGGTCCAGTAACAAAGCCAAACAAAGAATTTGGGTCGAAGAATGGAAATTAAGCTTGTCATCTAAAAAAACAAAATCAAATCAGTCGTGAAGCAGTCATCTTATGATTTGGCGAAAAGTGAGTTACAGAATCGCAGGGCAGTTCTTTGTTCACTTACATTACTATGAGACTAAGACAAGTGTACGACATACCCAAAGATATTTATAGTAAACGGGAAATATTGGAAAATCAGGCGCAGGAAGCTTTATGCCTGCATGAACCGCTTTCATTACTTTTGGGGTACCAATGAAAATATTCATAGAAGAATCGAACTTTGACCCCACAATCTAAAGTCGTACGTATACGCTACTGATAATGCAGTACAATTGAATTTATACGAGAAAAATTGCTATGGAACTCATAACATATTTGCAGACTCCGAACCCAGAACCTCCAGGCCGAAGAAAGTGCCTTACCGTCGAATTAATCATTCGAATAAATGCTCTGTAATATATGGCCATAGTATTTCGTTTCTGGGAAACATACTTCAAGAGGTGTTATTTTCAATTCCAGACCGTCCTAATATGATTTAATTACCGCTTCAACCGTTAATAACCCACGATTGTTCCCGAAATAATCATGGTCCACTCCATTAGCGGTGTTGGAGTGGAGTGACAAATGTACCGGGATGACTGAGGACCCTCAATATGAACTGACCCCTGGCTAGGGTTGCCAGTTTTATAATTGAATTGCAGCGAAGGTAGAAAAATAACTCATATTTCTAAATTTTCAATCCAATCCATTTTTTCAGAAGCAAATCTATTCTAGATAGATATATAATTTTTATTTATACATCTACATGGAACCAACAACAGAGATGGTGCAGCTTGTGAAGCGGCTGAAAAAGCTAAAGTATGTATAATGTCCTATTCGGTGTCGAGACCCTTGATCCGTGGGGTCCTAGCGCCATAAGGCTTTTTAAGGAAATATCAAAAACGTTAGTCGACATTACAGGAGACCGAAGAGCTGGCAGCTACCTCGAACAAAGAATTAGTCTAGCTATTCAACGGGGGAACGCTGCCAGTATCTTTGGAACCTTGCCTGAAGGGACTCCTTTTAATAATTTATTTTAGTTATTATATTTTAAGGTTAGTTAGTTCATTTAAAAATAACAAGTCGATTTCACTAACGTTTTTGTGCTGATACAATCTAAATTGTATCAATGTATTAGCATCGCGGTTAGAAATTGTGATTTGCGCATTATAAATCACAATTTTCAAATACAAATTCACTTAATTAGAAAAATCAAGCCGTGGTATCTACGAGTTCAACCCAATGCTTCTAATGTGTATTTACTTAGGAAAGTAGGACGTAAGGAATAAAATAGTAACTGTAAAGAACCCTGTACCAGGCATTAAATAAAATTGTGTAGCAACCCTATTTCCCAAAATGTAAATCGTCGAGTACATGTCATCGCCAACCCGATTTCGGAAACAGCCTTCTCATGGAGCACTTCTATTGCGTTCGCTAATTGGATTTATTCTGCATTATACACATTTTCATCAGAATTTTTAGTTGTATACACTGTCGTTTATTTATTAATTTTATTGTTATTTACGTACTCTTATTAGACACTCAATGACGTCAAAAATATATTTATAAAGCATGTTTTCTGGCTAAAACAACTTAATTATTTTTTTAGTTCTGGGCCTCAGATTTCTGTATCTGTTTCATGATCATTTGTTAATCTAATAGGCAAGTAGGTGATCAGCCTTCCGTGCCTGACGCACGCCCTCGACATTTTGTGTTTAAAGCAAGCCGGTTTCCTCACGATGTTTTCCTTCACCGTTCGAGCTAATGTTAAATGCGCACATAGAAAGAAAGCCACTAGGCCAACACTGCTCGAAAACAAAAAAAAAACACCTAAATTCGTTGAGATAAAAAAATTGGTTGATCAGAGAAATTTTATTTATTTTGTTAGTAGTATTTATAAGAATCTGTATATTCCTAAGATTAAATCATTCTCTTGATTAATATGTGTTTAGAGTATAATTTGATTCTCTTTATATATTATTTTAGAATTATTTGCTTAAAATTTGAAAGTAAGTACTTTTTAAAAAATTTATAATCGATTATGTTTTTTCATTAGAAATTCGAGTTTGCTAACCTTTATTTTCATTATTACCGATTTATTTTTAGTCCGAATTCTCAAACAGGGTATCAGCATCGCATCCGAATTTATAGTAAGCAGTAATCATGATTATATTTACTAGTAGATTAAAAGTCAAATTTGTATGATTTTAGTATAAAGAATGACTCAGCTTTGAAGCTAAACGAAACATTTTCCTACAAAATCCTAGTCTTTTTTATATAAACACCGCTGGTTCTTTAGGTTGTGTTTTTGGAGCCTCAAAACAGGGTTAGTTTATATTTTAATATTTAAAAAATTACTGATATTTTGTTCAATAACATAAAAACATCCGATATTTTCAATTCGTCAACCAGGATAAATAAGCATCGTATATTCTTGGAATATAAGTGTAATAAATAACCTATCATGATGAATTTATGAAATACTAAATAAAATATTCCACTAAATATACAACCTATTCAACCTCCTCAATAAAAATTACCTCCTTAATTTTTTATAAAAGTTAATAAGTACTGAATACACTGTAAAGATTTTATAACTTAAAATCAGTAATTTTAATAGTCTCAAAAATGATTTATGTATTTATAATTAATTATAAAAATGTTATGTTATACAATTTATTTTTTTATAACTTAAAATCAGTAATTTTAATGGTGATCTAGTTTTAAAAAATGATTTAATTATAATTGATTATAAAAATGTTATGTTAGGTATACAATTTATTTTAAAAACAGTACAGAAACAGGAGTAACCTAAAAAAAACCTAGGTCTGGGACTTAGCTTTCTTTAACAGTTTCGTGATCTATATTTAATAGGCAAGAAGATGTTCATTCTTCTGTACTCGATTCACGCCGTCAATACTTCTAATGCCGGTTTCGTCACAATGCTATCCATCTCCGTACGACTAAGTATTAAATGCGCACATAGACATAAAGTCCATTGTTAAAGAGCCGGGGTTCGAACTTACGACCTCAGGTATGAGAGGCGCACGCTGAAAACACTAGGCCAACGCTGCTATAAAAGTATCCTATGCTATATATAAAATTGTACACGAATCTGCAAATTTGATACAAGATAAGTAAAAGAACTTACGTGGGGTACGGCGGCCGCGCCATCTCCGAGCGCCGCGCTTCGCTGCCGATGGAACAGTGACACTCGCATCCCGCGATCCAGGGTCCTCTATCCAGAGGGCGTGCCCAACGAGACCACGCCTAGCATTTTATCGGAGCTTTATACATTTGTTTAATATGCTGCATTGATCTAGAAATCACAATTACACTTTAAGGCAGAAATAGCCTCAGTTTTGCTGCTAACAAAGAGTTACAATAAGAGCATTGCAATAATATTAACCTACAACAATATGCGCTACTGATAATGCAGTAAGGATATGTATTAACTAAACAAACAAGTCTTATTGCAGTTTTAAGTTAAGCACGTAGTAAGTATATTTGACTCCTGAATGTCAAAAAGGATGTATTTTGAAATACTGGAGTAATTATTTCATAGTTCGTCTGAGTCTCGACTCTGTTTCGGGTTTGAAAACGACGAATATATACCATGCTAAACAAAAGTTAGTGGAGCTAGTGTTATAAAACTGAAATTAGTTCATTTACTTAAGATCGAAGCATAAATCGTCTCAGAAGCTAAAAAATCTGATATTAAAATTGAATTTTCCCACATCATCATACCTTTTACGACGGCAAACTTGGCAGGCCTTTGCTTGAATGAGTCGCATTAAATTTCTCAACATTATTCCATCGCACGAAAAGTATATGATTATTTAATTAGACGAACTAAAATTGTGACAAAAATTTGAAAGGAAAAAGTACTTTTCAAGTTTTGCTTTGGTTTTATAGTTTAAATAACGAAAATAAACTTTAAATTTGTATTTAATTTCCACGAGTATCATGTCTAAAGATAAATTCACCTGTATGGGATATTATTTGTCTATTTACGTTGGTATTTGAGGTTAAATTTAGCTTTTTAATTATTAATACATTATTTTAAAACTATTGTTCAGGAATGCTTTAACATCTATTACTAATTACAGCAGCCATGGAGTAAGAAAATACAAAATGTAATTTATACCTAACTAGTTTTTGTGAGTCCAAAAATATTTTAATATACAAGACTTATGTATTGTAATTTATATAAACTAATTAGAATTATTCGCCATACATATCTACTCTTTGATTTTGCTCACTCTTTGATTTTAGTTAAATTATCGGTGGGCGGGTCCTAATATGGGCGTGGTATGCTTGATAACTTCAACCACTTCACAGATGTGATAACGAACATATGATTAAATGGTATAGAACTAATGCTACTTTGACCTATATAGAACCACACCCTGAAGCCTTTATCTATTTTATGTATGGTCTACACGGCGCTATTAGAATTCAGCAGAAATCGGGTAGTGTTACCCAAACAGACAGGAGTAAAAGGCCGGCAACGCACATGCGAGTCTTCTGGCATTAAGAACAGGCATTTTCAGCGGTAACCGACCTGTGGCAAGTCCCAGCCCAGGTTTAAATGCTCTTTTAAGGGATCCTCCCGTCGGAAGCAACATTGCTTTAAACCTTGGGCAGAATCGGCATGACGCCGCTTGATCTCAAGCTTGAGTTTTCTTTGCATCTGCAAATACGAGCAAACTCAAAAAACCATATAACTCAGACTTCAGTTTCTTTAAGCGGGAGATTGCTAAGGCAAAATCAGAGCACATTACCAGATTTGACGAGAAATTGGCCCTCCTCCTTTCGAGATCTCGACCCATTTGGTCACTTGCCAAAGCTGTTCGAAGAAATTTCTGTTACCCCTCTGTTTCACCACTGCACATGGTGAATGACTCGTTGGCCCATACCGCGAAGGAAAAATCTGACCTTTTAGACAGTCTCATCGCGTCAACTCGACTTTTGATGACCAATAGCCCTACCGACAATATCGGGGTGTGATGTGTGACTTGTGAGTGTATCACTTAACACCATATGGGCCTCCTGCCCGTTTGCTTTTTGTATTCTGTATATTATTATACTATATATATATATTGTAATGCAAATAATTAATAATATATTTTTTTATTACCCGTAACGTTGGACACATTGTATACAATTTTAGAACATTAAAGATGTTGGTTTGTCTCTTTGTAAAGTTAACTAAGATTTAGTTTTAAGCTAAGGTCTTTTGCATCTCAGCTACCGTGAAATGTCTAATAATATAATTTAATAATTTGTATACATAATATATTTTCGAATTTGTAATTTTCAGTCACGTGGAGACAGGAAGATGCTGTTTTTCCTCCAGTCTAACCACTGAAAGGCCGACCGAAGGCCCCAGAGACTGGTATCCTCAACCTGATAAGTTGTACTTATCCTTTATTTTTATGGAAATTGTTTAACTTAATGGTATTTATCCTTAGCTGTTGGAATAACTTTGTTAGCGCATTTCAAGGTATGACGTCATCACAGTGATTTGTACCGTAAATGTAGGTGTTGCTACAGTCAAAATTATTAAGAGTCCAATTTTTATATGATTACAAAATTTGTTCAGCCTTCAATGGTGTCACCTTGCCCCGAAGAACAGTCGTAAAAGCAAAATCTATTCAGGAAAACTAAAAAAAGGTAATGCTATTATTACTGGAATACATTACAAATATGTGTAGTATATCAAATGTATATAAATATATTCTACATATATTATGTATATGAAATGAAAGCAATTTTTTTCCTATTCGACGATTTAAACATTGTTGTTATGAATTTAGTGTAAATAGTAAAAACTAAATATAAATAATAATTTATCTAATAAGTCTGAAGAGGAAAAGAGTTTTACGATTGTTTCACAGTTTAAACATAATTACGGACGACACAGTAACCGCATATTATGACAACTTTGGCGAATGTCTAGAACCTAATAATTTATTAGAGTCTGGCTAACGAAAGTAGATACCTACTGGATTTTTTTGCAAACTTTTTATATGACAACACTAAAGTTAGTACGGTCAAAATGTCTTGATATTTTTTTATTTTAAATAAGTACATAATATTAGTTTTAGTTAATATATATAATCAATTTAAGAGACAGCAGCTACTCCAGTGATTCTGACGATTCACTCCATGTTGAATTTTTAGATTCAGATTTTGATTATAGTGATTAAAAAACAGTATAAAAATATATGGTGTTGTTTTCTTTGATACATACTCACATAGATTTACAAATATTTAAACTCATGATAATATTGATACTCATGATAGTGTTTGATAGCCTGTTTGTTCCTTTAATACGCCACAATGGAGTGACGTATCCGTGTAATGTTTGGTATGGAGTTAATAAAGAGTTAACAAGTGATATAAGCTACTTTTAATCTCCTCATAACGCGGACAAAATTGCAAGCATCCACTAGTAAAATAAAAATGAATGTCAAAGTATCAAAGTGAGTTGTTCCAACTTTCCTTTTTACTTAAGGGCTGCCATGCTGATATTTTTTAAATTTGCCGCGCTTTTTCAGTATCAACTTTCATTAGCCAGACTCTACCACTCTTTTCGCGGAAATATTATGACGGGTGCAACAGCGATATATTATTACTACTCTTTATTTGTTTTTAAACGTCGCATAAACTTTTATGATTATTTGGTAGAATTACAATCTAAACTAAAACTATCTTTATGGTTGTTGCTTTCTATTTCAGGAAAGTAAAATTAAGTAAACGAGTATTAATAACAGTGCACAAAATAACTTCCGTAGAATAAAGACTCCGTAGAGAAATCCTCTCCGTGTTTTTTTTTTAAATGTTTTGCAGATTCTGAAAAAAATTACAGTTATTGTACATCAACCAAAGAAGTCAAAAATGAGAAAACATTAAAACAGTCGTAATAGTGCTTTACGAATTTGTTCCCCGGACCCCGGGCAAGCGATATACTTTGTCTATCTACATATTATATTTCTGCTCAAACAACATACACTTTTAGCTAAATGAGTGAATTTTTCTTAATTTTATATTATTACTAGCTGCCCCCGCCAACTTCGTTCAAAACTCCTTAAGGTGATTTTACGTAGCCAGCCTTTTTAGTACATACCAACATAAAACATTTTGCTATGCTTCCCCAGAGACTGTTCAGTTCTCTGGAATGAAAACTTTTTAGGTTTTTCTGTAAATTTTTCTCTGTATAAACCTCAGAGTTCAAGTCATAAGATTTTAATTAACAAATAAAAAATAAGGGTTGATCGTAGAGAGTAGGTGAAAATAAAGGGTTGTATGTATTTTTAGTAAAGTAAAATAAAAAATCATTTAATCATATAGGTAACATAATGTACACTTATGACATGTCAGTAAAGAAATACATTAATTAAAGCTTCTAATTTTACATTTACTGCCAGTTCTCAAATCAAGGGCGTAGAACGGGAGAGAAGAACTGGCAATAAACTCTCCGCCACTCTTTTTAATCACCATTTTTTTGTTTTACAAAATGATTGTAAGTAGCTGCAACCATTACACCATGTCCCATGTGACATTTTAAGTAATTCATAATAATGACATAAATTAAAAACAAAGATTTGTCCTCTATCAGCAGGAGGCATGGTGAAATAGGAGCACGCACTTACATTCTCGTGGAAATAACACGCAAACACATAGTCGAAATAACCAACATCACCGCATACACGAATTCAAGTACGACCAGTCACCACAAGCAGCACCCGTTCACGAGCATGACCCATGGCCAGCCATCGGCCCCCTCGCCATATTTTAGGGAGAGAGACAACCCGACGCATGGACGCCGCCACAAGCAATGACATTTAAGCGAGCATGACGACCCTTGAAATGTGAACTTGGCTACATAAGAAAATAATAATAATACTACTTATTCTGAAATAATATGATACCACATGGATCACGGTTTGTTCCCACTTTACATTAAAACAGTCGTGGAGGTTGGATTTGGTTGATGGACGATCGCCCCAGAGTCTGAAATGCAGCAGAGAGATTCAGTCGCGTTACCTATTTATACTGGAGCAATATAAAATATGCTGTATCATATATAAAAAAATAAAAAACAAAAAATTTCACTTTCACTCATCACTTAGGGGTTTGAAAGATAGATAGTAGCCAATTTTCAGTCTTACTGAATATGCATAAATAATTTCATAAGAATCGGTCGAGCCGTTTCGGAGGAGTATGACGAACATTGTGATACGAGAATTTTATATATATAGAGATTATAAATAAATATTTGTGAAATTATGACAAAAGGACTACGAACAGGTTTTATGATCTCTTAAATTTTAAACGTTATTATTTGTGTTAAAGAAAGTTGAATTTTCTCGAATTCCTCACTTGTAAAATTGTCGCTTGTAAAATATGAGGGAAATGTCTATATTCATTATTAAACGTAATTATTAGGAGGAATATTAAACGTAAAAAGGTTAATTAAAAACATATGTATTCATTTGGTCGTTTTATTCACTTAAATTCTTATATAATAAACCGTTTTTATTTATTTATAAGGTCAAAAGACCTAAAAATACAAGAAAATATGACACGTATATTTTATTAAAGCAGAAATTACTTACAAACAAGGAAAAATATACCTATAAATTAAATTTAGGTAATGACAACACTAAAATCGGTATACCTTTTTTGATTGGTGTAGATTATAACACTTTTTAGTTTTAACCAATACTGTCAAACCAAGCATACAGCGTCAAAATGTCGTCAAAGTTGTAATCGTAGCAATATTCTGCGTATTTATTTATCGTTAGAGTGCGGGCTTATTGTGTATTAGTTTATAAATAACGCTCAATTTTTAACCAGATAAAACTGCGCAATATATATAACAGGTATGTTTCACCCAAGTTTAAATTTAATACTTTCCCTTAGGACAGCTGATAATAGCTTAATAGTTTTTATTTGTAAATAAAACATAAACTAAACCAGTTTGTGTTCAGTTCCGTCGTAAAAAACAAACAATTTAAGTGTGTCTTTTTTGTTTCTTTTGTTGATCAAAATATATTAGCGTCTTAGAAATCATACTCAAAGCATTAAAATTGGATGGGCGTATGGTATTTAATACGTAGCTAATTTGTACAGAAATGGGCGACGAATCTGATCCTTGCGAGTGCTTGTGGAATCATGAGTTGGCAATGCGAAGGCTTATTTTTATGGTAAGTCGTAATAGAACAAATTACTCCTATTCATTATAGTTGTGATTTAAAAAGAAATAACTTTCTTGCAATATCTGAAATCAACGTTTACAATTTTATAGTAAAAATATTATGTACTAACACAAACCCTCACATATGTATATAGATATATACAAACATGTTTCCTTATCACTAGTATTTCAATTATTTAAGTCATTTACAGAAACAATTATTCGCAGCTAGTTTAATGTTATCAAATGCAATTTATATTAACAAACCTAATCACTTAACAATTAAATGGTTTTAAGTTGTACAACATTCTATAAAAATATGTGTATAATATATTATACTTTCAATCTTTTTGAAGATCAGAACATTTGTAATATTGGTCTGTCATGTTAAAAATTCTTCCTTTATTAATTTAAAAATCTCTTTATAGCTCCGTCAAGGCCAATCATACTGTACAGATGGAGAGTGTCTTGATGAAATGCCATCATTACCTCAACCAGAAAATGCTGCAATCAATTACACATTTATGTTCATGATGATGGCTGTGGCAATTGTTTTGTATGTCTTACGCCCACAGCGCAACCAAATTCAGGATACTGCCAAGCCCGCTCCTAACCCTCGTGTAAGATTTACCAAATTTACTATAGGAATAATATGTAATATTAACAATGTTCTAAAGCTACTCATTTATATTTATTTACTTTGAAAACTTTGCTTATTTTAGCCAAGCTTTGCTAAGCTGTAGTGCGTACATCTTCGTATACTGCAACTAAAAATAATATGATATTGTTGTAAAATGTTGCAATGTTTTAATATATAGATCAATATTATCTTTTCAATGTTATATAATACTGATTAACACACAGTATTGACATGTTAGGGAAGTTGAATAATAAATAATTATTCTATTGTGTTGATTAAAATGGCAGATGTTCTCACCTTGAACTTAATTGATTTCTTAGCCTTGTCAGCATTTGGATAACTGCTTTTTAATTTTCTCTTATATTACTTATATGTAAGTAAAAGGATTTTTTTTAAATCTGATAATTATAGTATACATTGTTTGATATCTTTGTTTTACCAACATTGGAAAATTTAGTATGATTTTGTATTTTAATAGTTGCAATTATATACACTTCTGATTATAATTTTCAAAATGTAAAATACACAATATAGCCTTTTTTTCAGGATAATGATGGGGCACCGCCGGCACCACCCCGAATTTAATGCATTGACAAAATACATCAAGTGTGTCAAACCATCAAAATAATATGTATCATATATAATAGTTGAAACTTATAACGATAATTAACATCCATTGTAATAAGTATAAGTAATTAATGTAAGTGTTAGACAAAACTCGAATAGGACTTTCTGAGGAAAAGAAACATCTTGCCTGTAATTAAAGTATTCAATTTCATATCATTCCATGTCTTTCGCATAGTTTAGTTTGTCACAAATTACTATAATTGGTGCTAAGAGTTGAAAAGACAAATATTAACAATTTCACAACTAAAAAATACCAATCGTGGTATGTTCCCAAATAAATCTTAATCATCACAATCATTAACCAACAAAATGGTTGGTATAGATCTGCAAAAATTATCTTACTTTACTATTTTTATTTTTATGCACTTTTTGCTTGAGTTGCACTGTTTTTTCTTATTTATAAAACAAGACAGTTTAAGATACATTCTTCAAACTTTTGTGATATTTTATATTTTTTATTTAGAAAATTCATGGGTATGGGTTTAGTTCAATATTACTTTAAAACTAATTGCATTATACATTCTTTGACTAAGCATATTTGAGATTGTATTTAGAAAAATAAAAGTGATATCTAAAGAACCTTTTTGATTTTCCTGTTTGATTACAACCTGTATAGGGATGTTAAAGTTATCCTTTATTACACTCTTAATAAATTGAAGATTTGTATGATTTTTTTTTCTGCTAATCAAAGAACTAGCCCAAATAATTTATCTATAAAATTTTGCCATTTTGATAGCAGTTTGTTTATCCCTTAACTGTAGAAATCTGCTGGACAGGAGGCGGTAAGTCGGCAAAAGGGTACTGCCTTTCAAGAGGTTACTAGACTGGCCAATTTTCACGAAAATGTATAGCTGCATGTGAGGCTGGTAGCTATACGGGTAAACTATGCAATAGGAACTCGGCAATATTTTTAGTAAGGCCGATGAAAGTTTAGTGTCCCAGCCGTATGGCCGGAACGATCGCTTTGCAATCGAAAATACTGTAATATTTCTCAATTCTCAGCCACATTATTGCTGCCTTGCTTTACGGCCTAAGTGCGTCCCTTTTTTTTGCTACGTGAAGTTTGCCTCGTTCGAATAGCGCTATGTTCATTGTGTTTGTTTCCGTTTATTTTGGTTATATGTACTAGCCAAGCCATGTATGTAGACCGTATAAAGACAAAATAATTTTCAGATTTAAAAGGATTGAACCATAAAAGGACCATGCTGTGTTAGGCCCGTACATCTTTCGTTTTATAAGCGCAGCGGTATTTCCTCGTAAGAACTCATATTCGTAAATTTTACGAATTTTCCCTTTATAGAGGCGCCAAAAGCTACCACAATATTAAAAACAAATGACTGAATTTGAAATTTTTATTAACACGGCTTTCGAATAAAATTTATGGATGGATTGATTACTAATTGCGCGCCAATCTCAATAATAATAATTTAACCTGTAAATCCTAGTTATGGAATCTCCAATTACATAGGTATTTATGTACCTATAATTTAATAATACATTATTTAACTGTCATAGTTATTATCATTTTCTTGACATAGACAAAAAAAATTATCATCTTAATGGTTTTCCTTTAAATTAAACTACAAATCTGTAAAACTATATTTTTTTTAAAATGTACTTTTGGAAGATACCATGTACATAGTAATGGTAGTCATAATTGTATATAATAATTATTGCTTTGTAAAAATACACCATTATTACAATAGTAATATGGGCTAAAATGTTACCACCCCTTATTGAGAGGTGGTAGACCCAAATCATGACTCTTGTATTCTATCCACTTCATTTTTAACTTTCTTTAGAAGGCTACTTATTTTTTTGTATTTACCTACTGAATTCGGAAGATTTTCAAAGTTGATAATGTCACAAATATCTTTCGCGAACTTATCGTCACTTGGTAATTTCATGAATGGAGATGCAATGTTTAAGACTGGTGTACCATAAAGTGTGTCCTTGACTTTGCCAGTTTTTACTTCAGGCGTACTTGATTCTGATGGTGCAGGTACATCAGCTGGTTCGATTTTAGTTATTTCTTCAGCGTGTGCAGTTTGTGGTTCCTCTATTATGTTACTGATATCCTGTTTAGAAGCATTATCCTCTTTATCCGATTCCAAGAGAATACACTCTTCTACTATTTCTACACTTTCATCTGCAGTACTCGGCGACTCATTCTCAACAATAACATCTTTAGACATCTCGGTGTCAGTACCAGAAACAATCGTAATTTCAGCACTCTTAATAGCATCTAAGAGTTGCTGTTTTTCAGCTTCTAAATCATCAATGGAGGGGCTATTCCTACCACTGAATGGTAACGAAGTTTCCTGCCAAAACATAATCACTAGTAAAAAGTTTGATACATAAAACGGACGGATTTGACGGCTCATTGGTCTAGTGGTTAGTACCCCTGACTGCGAATCCATGGGTCCCGGGTTCGATCCCCGGCTGAGACAAACATCGATGTGATGAGCATTTGGTGTTATGCTTAGGTCTTGGGTGTTTAAATATGTATTTATATGTCTATCTATCTATAATATGTATGTATATCCATTGCCTAGTACCCATAACACAAGCTTCACCAGCTTAGCATGGGACTAGGTCAATTGGTGTGAATTGTCCAATCATATTATTATATTATTATTATTATTATAAAAACCTTAAATATATTATGTTAAAACAAAAATGTATGAGTTTTAAGACAAGTTTTTTTAGGATTGGGGACAAACAGCAGGTTAAAATATTAGGTGGCATACAGCCAATTTATATTAGAAAATGATAAAAATAGACCTGAGACCAAAAAAAAGGGTGCGTGTACTTATGTACGCGCGTAAGAAGTACTTCTTTGGCATTATTAAAAATAGTTTTTGATTGCATGCAAATAATTAATTACAATTAAATAATCAAAGACTGGAAAAGGAGTCTACGGACTATAATAGTCAATAAAGTTCAGTTTACATTTGAAAAATTAAATAAATAAATATTTATTATTTTCTTACATTAAGTGTAACATAAATTCTATTATTATTCGAATGTTGTTTTTAAATTATGTCCAATGCCGTAGCATCTTCCGTGGGCAACTTCATTCTGTTAATTTTGTGTCACGGTGCGCGCGCATCGTAAAATTTCACTCTCATCAATTTTTCATAACGCGCCTAAAGAAGTATAACTTCATAAAATGTTCCTTGACTAACATTTAATAATATTGTAATATTAAAAATAGAAAAATTACTTACGTCATCATCATCTATTGTTATCAAATCGTCTTCAGGCATAGGGATATCTGGCACCAGCATAACTTCAATTGTTTCTATGTCATCCATTGATTTATTGTCTGAATTATCCGCTGTGCTGGGTTTAGATGTTTCTCCAAAAGATTGCTTCTTTGATATGGATTCTTTTAATTCTACTGATTTAGAATTTGGAAGATCTGTATTTGGAGTTTCGGTATTTGGAGATTTTGTGTCTGGTGTTTCGGACTTCACAGGCTCGGAAGATTTTAAAGGGGTTTGGGTTACTGATGGTTGAGGACTACAAGGCAACTCTGGAGGGGGTGGAGGTGGAGATGGTAGGTTTGGGGGTTCATCATCAGGTAGAGGTGGAACAGATGGAAATTCTGCCATCTCTGTAATTAAAAAAGACTTTAGATAAGTAAAACTGGAAGAAACATGTATTACTACGAGCTAACTACTTTCCACTATTTTATAATATAGTGTTTTTATAGTATTCAAAGAGAATTATAACAAAGGACGACAACGCACTCGCGACTCTTCTGTCAGAGTACCCTTGAGCAGTATCATTTAACACCAGATGAGATTCCACCTCTTGACCCCCTTTTTCATAAACAACTTTCAATAATATTAGAGTATATATTTAGAGTAATTTTGTTGTATTGCAGAACACAAATCTGGTGATTATGAATATGTAATTCTAATATTATATTTGATGAAGAGCGCAGTTTGATTTTATATTGTATATCTGTGTCGCGTTCGCGTACAAGGTAAGTTTATCTTTTTAAAGGTTATTTTTAGAAAACATACCATCGCCGCTATCCAGCTCCATTTCTGCTTGCCCTTCTTGAGAAATGTTTGCAGATGAAGGAAAGAATGTTAGTTTCTTCCGTTTGTATGCCTTCATAGCATTTGGTGCTAATCTTTGCAACATTATAAATTTACTATCTTGTTCCGATAATGGTGGGAGGCCATATAAATGTGATTCCTGAAAAAAATGTTTTGTTTAATAATTAATTAATTTATTATAATAAAAATTATATTGATAATGTTTCTATTGAGAAACATTGTAAGTATATATATATATCTGTTGATAGTGAAGTATCAAAAATGTCTATGTCTATTGTGAATTAACAATGCAAAGTGCAAATATAAAGATAATCTACAAACAATAATATTAACTATTGTGTATATATATAACACAAAGCTGGTAAAGCAATAGTATATTTATTATATTAATTTATTAAATACCTTTAATAAATTAATTGACAGGCATATTTCAAGAGTCAGTTGTTTAATTTCTTTCTTTATGGCTACATACATGCAATATAACATACCTCTATATATGTAGAACTTGTGGGAACATTAAATCCTGGAAAGTCGTGAATTTTTTTGATGTCATAACGGTCTTTAGTTCCTGGTTCAAAAATTTCACCGTCTTCTTCCCCAGGATCGAGTATTCGTGTTCCCTGGACAAAATACATATATTTACTTGGGAATGATTGGATGACAATGAAATTGGAACAACCCTTAGTGGCAGATAGGTATGGTATGAGGTAGATATATATTAAATTACAATTAGTTACAAGGTCTGTGCAGTGTTAACACCTAAAACATAAATTTTAAGATAACCAATCTATTTTCTACACTTGAAACTTTAGTTCAGAGGACTATCACATCGGTGGTAATAACTTAAGATAGTTGTATAGTTGGTAGTCAAAGTCAAAGTCAAATCGTTTATTTCAATTAGACCATCTAAAATGGTACTTTTGAACGTCAAAAAAAAAATATAAAGATGATTCTAGTTGCCCCTTCCAAAAGGTAGTTTCGTGTGGAAAAATGGGCAAGAAACTCCACACTTACTCTTTTAAAATAGGTTTACAATATTTTGTTACATTTGTTAAATAATTATATGTGAAGACAATGTACTCTTAGAATAAACTACTATACTAAAAAAGTTAGTATACATGTTCCTCACATATTTACAAATATCGAAACCTTAGAATATTAACATTAAAGAGTAATAAAAATATTAAAAAAACACAACAAAACAGTGTGTGAGATACAAAAAAAATAATTACATTTGTAGCATTATATAAATTAAAAAAATAATAATAATAATAATAATAACAAAAATTAACATTTGGTAATAAATAAATATTAAGGAAGATTTATTAAAACTGAAGCATTTTATTAATCTTTAATGATTAGACAAACACTAATTGGAATCAATTGTTTGGGCTTGTTGTAATGATTTTAAAAGATATGGATCTTTTGTGTATTTGCTAGTTAAGTACAGGAGAAACAGTAAATTTACCGTGGAATCAAACATATTGATGCCTGATGGCAAGATCTTAGCTTCTTCCATCCAACCACATGGATAGCCTAGAAGCCTCATTCTGTAAATATACAAGGGAAGCTCATATCTCTTGATACCCAATGCATGACGCAGTTGTCCAGAAATTCTTCCAGGGATAAGGTGGCCAAATTTTTGCTCATCTTCAACATGATAACGTCTGTAAAATTATAAATGTGGTCACTATTACATAAAATCTAAAATCAGAATTCCACTACCTTTTGAAAATTAGTCTTATTGCTTAAAAAAGCATGTAATCTCTCACTCATCTATGCCATTCAACACATAACAATGATAGTTTCGTTGTGAATTGAGCCCATCCTTTAAGTATGCCACATGCAAAAGCTATTTAGCCACAGATATTATGCTACAAGTAATTGTATATATATATATATATATTATAAGAAATTAGTAGAGTAAGAAATATTAAAATATACTAACAAAAATCTATCCCAAAAGAATCTAACTTGTGCTAAAATTAACGAATATTTAAATGTTATATTCTCACCCAAGTTTAACACCTAAGTTTCTTCTTTTCTCTGCAATTCGAGAATGATTTCTGGGCTTTTTACAATCTTTTAATTGGTGTTCTCCATCACAGTTAAAACATGTAAATCTTGGCCGGGTAGCTTGTGTTTCATTTACTTTTATATTGTCTTCTTGGATATTGGATATTAACTGTGAGGCCTTAAAAAGTAAATATTTATATTAAAAGGAACCTTATATTTATTGTACATTCTTTTTTATTATAATATAGCTATCTCAAGACTTTACCTGTTTATACATGGGGACATCAGTATTGCCCCCACAAGGGGCTGTGTCCACAAAGAATAAGTTATCATTGAATGAAGGTACTTCAGTTATATTTTCTTTACTGTCCTTTGGCCAAATATCTAACTCAAGATCAGTATCACTATCTATAACTAGACCGTCATCATCATTTTCTTTAATTAAGTCTAGCATAAAGTTTTTAATTTTACTTTTGTACAATTTTGCAAACCTTTTATCTCTAAATCGAATGCTTATTAATGGTGTTTTATGCTCAGATTCCACTAAACTTAAATCACTATTGGAGGCTGGTGAATCTATTTGAATATCTTCATTGAAAATTATTGTGTTAGAGTGTTCTTTGTTGTTTTTAGTTTGAACTGAACCATTTCTTATGCTTATACTGTAACTAGAATTACTCTTTAAAACATTCCTGTCATTTTTCCCTCCATTTTGTGGTGTTATTTTTATACAATGATCGTGAACTTTATCTGTATCTTCAGTAAAATTTTTACTAGAAGTGATTTCTTGAACCACCTGCTGTCCCGTATTTGGTTTTGAAATCTTTGTTTTTGATTTTTTATTATCGTCATCACTACTTCCAGATAAATCCTCATTATCTAGCTCGTATATAATATCCTTCATACCTGCTTTCCGTTTCGCCATAACAATAATTACATAAATACTGAATTTAAGAACTGAACTTCAAAAAAAAGCACAAGTTTTGTAATAACTAATAAGTTTTTAAATATTTTACAGCATTCCTGCAAAATAATATTGGAGTTGTTGACATAAATTATCTATATTTCCAAAAAATATTCATTGATTGATCATTCGCATTTTGTCAGATTTGATTTAAGCACAAACTATCCAAATACCATAGAATGTTATAGATTACTTGTTATAGATTTAGTCTGTGGAGAATCGAGCAAAGGTCTTAGACAAGACGCTTTAAATTATAACGTAATAAATGCAGAGCAGTGGACATACAATAAAATTATTTTCTTTCAACAGACTATTGCTACAAATCCTCCATACATATTTACGAGTTTCACTGCCATAGCGGAACTTCCTCCTTTTTTGGGGATATGATCTTTTTCCTTAATAGCGTATGTGCCATCAAACCCGTCAGTCCTCAAGCCACGGGCTGCGTGCGCACCATGTGACATCTATATAAGTTTTTATGCTGGTAGCGAAAATCATTTGATTATCTATCTAAACGAAATCATTTCAACTCTTCATAAGTGTTGCCATTTCGTAATTTTTTCTCTCCTTGTGGGGTTGTGTCCTTTTCACCTAAATTATAGATGGCCCCTTACCTTCACCATCATCTCCATTAAGGCCGCGTGTGGTCCAGCGCACCACACAACGGCTAGTTCGATAATGTTAACTGAAAATCTTCATTAACATTCATATTCAAATGATTAAGCACAAAAGCACTAAATAATAAGCTTTAATCAAACACTTATTTCAGTGACACACTAGTCTGTTTTTCTTTTACATTGTATTTTAAATCCTTGGACTTAATCAACAAATGACATCAATAATTGAACAAAATTGCTTTTGCTACGAATGATGCGACCGACTTCCGGTAGAATCGCAACATGATGCTTGGCTGCAAAAATGCGTTGTGTACGTACAATTACGCAAAAGCAACAACGTACACTAATACGTTGAAATCTTCTCGGCAAAAATCGGACTAGAGACTAGAACCCTGTGTTTAGTAACTTAACAACAAATCTCATATGACATGTAGTTTCCTGTATTTTTTTTAGCACAAAGCAAGAGTATAATTATAGCATGTACTTAGAAGTTTTATTCGCAATTCTCTCTTTTTTGATTTTTCTTTTTAAAAATAGACTTCCGTAAAGCTATAAACTTACATGCTTAGGCGCTACATGGTCACGTGACACGTGTGTCGAAAGTGTTCTTACTTCTTTGTCTCAACCTCTGGGCTCTCAGCTCTGACACCTGACTCCTGAGTAGTGAGTAGCGAATCTGAGTTGTAGGTTATGTTTATTTATTATAAATAATCGTTTCTGTTAAAATCATGTCACTGTTAAAAGTTATTCGAATTAATACGAAACATATTTTTACTAAACACAATGAAACCCATACACTCTATATTTCAAACAGAAAATTAAGCATAGTACCTTCAGTCTACGGTTCGTATTTACGATGGCTTTTATAATTCTTAATTTCAACGACGATATTATGGTTTAAGTATTTCTTGCGTTTTATAGATCAAGAAAATCCTGCTCCAAAATTTTTTTCGTCTGGAATACAAGTGCTTTTAAAAAGGTTGACTAGACCAGAGTTTTCCAAAGTGTTTCGTAAACGCACTAATAATAATACCGCAGTTCTCAAAACGCCCGTATACAAATTTCTTACTGACGAAGAGCTCAATATAGAGAAGGAAAAGGCTAACACAAACGCCGATCGCTTGTTGCAAATGCCTCCAGTAGTTAAGGTACTTACTATTTCAATTTTTTAATTTATTTCTTCCAGTTCAAATTTCTTTGCCAAAAGTTTGATTTTAAAACATGCTGCCCTATGACATATAACCCAGGTTCCCTTGCATCATTTGATACAACTGAAGTCAGTAGTTGGGTCAGTTATTTTTATCTTTGTTTTAGTTACATGAACAAATAAATGATGTACTCTCAAAAGACCCAGCACTAGTTGGATATGATAATTCAACATACATGTTTACAGACATTACCTTTGGAGTTGCCAATGAGCACAGGATTATTGTACAGAGGTATGTAGTCTCACAAGTAGTGAATAATTAATTTTAACAAATATACCTAATAATATACAGAACAATATTACATTGTAAAAGTATTTAAAAAATCTAGTAATGTCTAGGTGAATTAATCTATTAAATGTGACAATAATGCATAATTAAATACGTGAATTCTTAGTTGTGTGTGTAGTATTTGTACAATGTGTAATCTTAACAAGATGGGATCTATCTGATAAAATCAAACAGATTAATAAATGTAATTATTCAATATAAGCTTTTTAATTTTTTAGAAACCCTGATGGTACATTAGAAAGTTGTGATCGGGATACTAGAAAAAGGCTCAATCAGGTAATTTTTTAAATAGATACAAAGGCATCTTTTTTACTTACTTTAGTTTATTAAGTTCACACAGCCAAGGCTCTCCTTATTTTTTAAATACTATGAGGTCTTAGTCTAATTTTATTTTATGAATTGAAAGAAGACATAAATTAATATATTATTTTTGTAATCTCCTACAGATCTATTTCCCGATGCAAGGTCGTAAGATTAGAGAACCAAAAGTTTTCTCTGAACCTGAAAAATTTAACGGTTTATTGGAGGGTGAAAAATATGAGTATATCCTTGATAGAGCTTGTGTGCAATATGAACCAGATGAACGCAAGTATCAAGAGATTACCAGTATTACATATCAACATATTGATTTGCATAGCAAGTTTGATTTGCTCAGGTAATTTTGTTCAATTGAAATCAAAAATTCAAAGTACATAATTATAGAACAATCTTGCTTGTTTTGGTTTCTCATATAATTCTATATAATTTTCATATTTGGAATTTATACAACAGATAGTGCCCAAACAAATTTCCCACTACAAAATCGTTAACAAACTAGAGTTTCACAGTATAGTATATAAAAAATAGTAGACTGAGTCCCTTGTCCATTACATTGTCATTTTGTTAATATTTCTTTATTGTTGGATTTATCCAAAAAAAATATATGGTAATGTAATGGTTTTGGTAATGTAATGTTTGGTTGAAATAAAATGTCGTAAATGGTAAAAAAAAAACTAAAACTGTAGGTTCCCTAAACTTGCTGTAAGTAAACGAATGTAAAAATCACACGCCGCAGAAATGCTGTAAGTAGTTAAGTTTTTAAATGGGAAGAAGTAAGTATTTGTAAAGAAAAAAATGCAGTTTTTCTTTTGCTGTAAGTACAAATTGTCTATAATGACTGGATTTTGGTCTACATACAGCATTTAATATTGCTAAAAAAAATATAAGTACGGGCGTTTTCAACCGCGTATGTAATTTTTTTTTCATCGATGAGACACAGGACCCGGGACATTCTTTTTTTCTCTGATTCTAATGGCAGTAAAAAGTCACTTTAGGTATTTTGTCTACTTACAACAAATATGCTTTCCTACGTCGATAATGATTCATAATGTATTTGAATAGTTGGATAAACTCAAACCTAAAAAAAAATAATACATGGTTGCGTATGTAGACTTCTCTTATAAAATATAGTCTATATAGGTTTGTTGACTTTCCTTTACATTAAAACATTCTATAAATAATAAAATATCAAATTTCTATCATCAGATCAACTCGTCACTTCGGACCAATGGTATTTTACTTAACATGGCATCAAAGCATGGATCGCCTAATGTTGGAGTTAGTCCAAAGTGGTGTGGTACGTGAAGCTGTGCTGTTAGCCGCACTGAGACAGGCCGTACACAATGATCTTAGCAATGGAGAAGACTACAATGCTTTGGTCTCGGAGGTATAGCACTTTTAAATAGCATTTATTTTTAATAAAGCAAGTATTAGGATTTACATCACACTTGAAACTGAATTGACACCATTGTCGTAAATGAAAATTAGAAATATGGTTAACCATTCTATTTGTATTGCATTAATGCAATACATATATTCCGTTTAGTAATATAGTAGCTTCTAAAGACAATTAAACTTAATTTATTGCTCTATACTAGTCCACAGATTAACTAGCTATAGCCTTGTATGTCTATGTGTATTTTGTCCATGTCACTCTCACAGCTAACATTCTTAAAATAAATTATGAATAGAACAATAAATCATACTTGTCTTTTTTTAGATTTTACCAAGACCGATACAGCTAACCAAACCAGAGATTCTTTCAGAGGAAGATATAGCATTGGATACAAAGTGTACTGAATTGGTTGATACCTATATTAATACATCATCATCTATGAAGAGTCAACAAGCCCTTGCGTTACAGGGCTTTAGAGAATATTATCAGCAATTAGTAGACCTTAGTAGGGGCTTAAAGAAGGCTCATGGTAATGCATAAATTATATGCTTAAATAAATATTAGAGTAAGAAGTTGTGTTTTATTAGAATATTTTAGGAATGTATATTTGGAGATTTTATTAAAATAAACGTATTTATCTTAATGATTGAAAATAGTTTTGTTTCTGTTTTAAAATAAGGTATCGTTTTGTCCTCTCTCGGATAAAGAAAACACCTGTGAATAAGCGTTTACGATGTGCACAGTGCATTTAGTTAGAGTGGTGTCTGACGGTACGGTTTTTTTTACTATGTAAATGTATTATGTCATTACATAGATACTTTTCTATGAACGTACATAATATTATTCTCATCCCAAGATTTACCGAACCTAGAAATGAACATGTTTGAATTTAAGATTATTTCATAGTATGATACTTGAATTATCCCTAGTCTCTTTATTATTTTTCATTACCTGCCATGCCCCTGCAATATTTTTTTTTTAATATTATGATTCAACAAAGAGATAAAATATTTTATTGTTTATTGAACTGTTGACAAAGAGCAATGTTGACATGGTCAACAAACTGTGCTTACGGGCTTCAAATTGCCTTTTAAGTTTTTATAATAATATTATGATTTATAATGCCATTTTACCATCACCCAAGAAATTTTACGCCATTATTAAAAGCCGCTGAGAGAAAAGCTGTTAAAAATGGACTACATCACTGTATATTTACATCGAGATTCGATCGATACGTAGGTGACTGGAGTAACGATTTGAAACAAGGTATCTAAATAGGTGTTTTATTAATTAAAAATTATATTAATCCAGAAAGCAAACATATGCATTTAAAACTATAGGGGAGACTGGGTACACTTGTCCCTAGAGACACTTGCTAATCTTTATTAAAATCTACTAAATGCGCAATCTTTTTTTAAACTAGCAACACTTGTTTGTTTATGGCAAGGTTAACTTTCTGTCATAGTTTCGTTGGACAAATATCAGTAGTTTGCAAATGGCCGGCAATCGAAATTTTCTGTGGTGATTTATATAAAATTTGGTAAGTTTTAACTAGACATATTTAATAAAGTGTGATGGATTCGCTTTTTTAAAATGTGTATAGCTTTTAGAGCATTGTTTTTCCTGTGGTTTGACGCTTGTTGTTATGAAATAAGTAGTAAAGTGTTTAGAGTGATCCATGTTTCATAACCTCAATGTATTTGGGAAGAGATTTGATCCTCTTCCATAGGGGTGAATTGATCCCAGGGATCATGTGTCCCATAAGAGGATCAAGTCTACCATACAGTAAAATATTTACTTTTACACTTTTATGGCGCAATTATTTATTGGTATTTAATTTTTTGGATACGATGCCGCGAAAGTATAAAACTAAAGAAGGTTCAAGAAAAAGAAAGCCAATCGATAAAGAAAAACTAAAACTTTCGGTAGCTGCAGTTCTGGCCGGAAATACACTAAAGGCACTGCAAAACAATATTCGGTACCTCTCATGACTTTGAAAAGATATGCTAGAAAGCAAAAAGAAAATGACGAGGAAATATCATACGAACCCAACTACAAAAAATCGCAGATATTTTCAGACCAAGAAGAAAATGATTTGGAAGAATATTTGGAAACCGCTAGTAAGTTGTATCATGGCCTCTACCCTAAGAAAGTACGTACGCTAGCTTACCAGTTCGCTAGCAAGAATAAAAAGAAGATTCCTATCAGTTGGGAAGTTAAAAAAGAGGCAAGCTACGATTGGTTTTGGGGTTTTATGGAACGCCATAAGAAATTGTCGTTGAGAAAACCCGAGGCTACAAGTCTATCAAGGGCCACTAGTTTCAATCGCCATAACGTGCAGGCATTCTTCGCAAATTTAAAAAGTTTGATGGAAAGATTCAATTTCGATCCTTCGCAAATATTCAACGTGGACGAAACAGGTATAACAACCGTTCATAAGCCCAAAAAAATTGTTGCTTGTCGAGGCCTAAAGCAAGTGTCGAAAGTGACATCTGCCGAAAGAGGAGAACTTGTCACGGTCTGTTCGGCAATTAATGCAATTGGACAAAGTTTGCCACCTTTCATGATATATTTTATAGAAGTCATAAGTTTAACTGATTTATTTACGTTACGTTTTTTAATATTTAAGTATAAACAAATTGTGTTTAATACTAGTCCTTTGGTAATTTGTTTTTAAGTAAAAATTTGAAAATTAAAATTGATTCAAAATTATGTGATTTATATTTTAGCTGCCCTTATAATTAATTCCCTTTATAAAATTGGATTTCTAGCAAAAAAGAAAATAAAGTAAACTCACGTGATTCATGTGTCCCCTATGTATGGGAGATTTGATCCCCGGGATCAAAGCTCCCTTATGGTTGGGAACAAGTGTCCCTGATATAAGGGACACATATACGTCCATGGTATGAAGTTTTATGAAATTATGACTAAAATTGTAAACAAATCATGCCCTCTTTCGGATTGTTGATAGATATTTATATTCGAAACATAGAAATATAAAAATTTTAGCAATAATGTAGAGAGTAAAAAATTTAGAGACCAAAATACAAAGGTGGGATCAACCCTCCCCAGCCTCCCCTATAAGAATATGTATACCTAATAGTTACAAAATACATTCTATATACTGTTTAATATGTAGTAGGTACTTACCTACGTAATCTATAGAATTATCTTTTTAAAATATAACTTCCGCTAATTATTTCTTAGTCACAGAACTTGAACTTTATAATATGTTTCATAGGTAAAGGCTTGTTCTTGACATACACGGGAAAATTATACGAAGGCGATTGGTTCAAAGGATTTCGGTAAAGTTTGCATAATGCTCACTATTATTACATACCTACGCATTTCTTTTTCCTATTTTTTCATACAAATGTACATATAAAATTAACTATGGTATGTTAGTTATATACTTATCTTAAGTATTTTTAGAGCTGGTTTTGAACAACACTTGTCTTTAGCTGCCTGCTGATAGAGGACAAATCTTTGTTTTTAATTTATGTTATTATTATTAATTACTTAAAATGTCACATGGGACATGGTGTAATGGTTGCAGCTCCTTACAAACATTTTGTAAAACAAAAAAATGGCGATTAAAAAGAGTGGCGGAAAGTTTATTTCCCGTTCTACGCCCTTGATTTGAGAACTGGCAGTAAATGTAAAATTAGAAGCATTAATATGTATTTCTTTACTGACAAGTCATAAGTGTACATTATGTTACCTATATAAATTAATGATTTTTTCCTTTTTTTTAAATTAAGAATTATATATAAGAGTTCTACCGAACGGATGTAAATGCAATTTTTATAGGTAAAGTCGTAGTATTGTGTGGCAAGGTTTAATAAGCTAAATGAAAAGCACTTTCTAAATATGATAACGGTGTTCATTGATAAAAGTAGTTAAATAATGTGAACAAATAAGAAAAATTGTATGTATTTAATTCCTTTGGTACTAAATTTATTGTTAATAATAATCTCTGTCTATAATTACAAATAGCGATACCCACTGATGATTTTATATGCAATTTCGATGAAGTTTTTACAATAGCCGCAGGGCTATCACTTTGATCATATTAATCCTTTTAACATTTGTCAGACACGGCTACGGTACCCTTAGTAATAAATTATTAAACGGGACATACAACCTAGAATATAGGGGAGAGTGGGTAAGAGGTAAACCAGAAGGTGCTGGCTGGAGGTACTACGAGAATGGTAATGTTTACTTTGGGTTTTGGAGACGAGGGCAACGGCACGGCTACGGCAAGATGTGGTATGCAGATGGAACATTTTACGTTGGCTATTGGAATATGAGTAAGAAGGAAGGATTGGGAATGTTTGTTCAAGGTATATTTTTGTATAACATGTGGGTGGTAGTAGTTTTTTGTATGGCAATAGTCCATACCAAATATTTTACACTATTTAAATGAGTCATATCAAGTGTACAAAACTGATATCGAAGTTCTGGCTAAATACAGATAACGGTTGTTATCGTACCACGTAGTTTAAACTTTGCAAACTAAAGTAAAATTAGGAATTGTGTTTAGAAATAGATCATAGGATATCTTTGGTCTGCTGACGCCAACCTTTTATTAACTAAATATTGAGTCTCAGCCACAAAGATAAGACAGACATTTTTTTTGCCTTAGATACGAAATCTATAAGCTAGGAAATATTAGATAATTCGCAAAATGTAATAATGTATTTTAATTTTTAGAAACATACATTAACAAAAAAAACCCACTGTTATTTCAAAGGCCTGTTTTCGCGGTAAATAGGCCGTTTCGTTGCGATAAATATCAAGGGCTTAATCCCATTCAATGAATACAATTATTAATGTAGGGATATCGGTTATAACTTAACATAACATCTGTACGAGCATATGTCCTCTATCTTATAATTGACTTTGTCAATCTGCAGAACAATTGTACTAATTCCAGGAATGGTTTGGATGATAACTATTACACCTAGGTGTTAAATTGTTTTTAGTTAATGGTAACCGTTATGAAGGCAACTGGCATCAAGATATGAAAAACGGAATCGGCCGTTTCTACCACCTTCACACTGGACAGTTGCAGGAAGGATGCTGGCAGGACAACATTTGTGTTATGTCTAAGATGTCAGATATAGAGATTCGACAGTTTTGTTACTTTCCTTCCGAGTATCCTATACCACCTGTAAGTACCTAGTGCAAAATAAGCACACAGGCTTTAGTGCTTTTATTGTTTAGCTGTTTTTCTTTTTAGTACATACAAATTTAAAAAAAAACATTATTGCCGTGAACTTAATATATATATACGCGAAGTTATGTATAAATTTAATATTTTAAAATTGAAATATAACTACCCTAAACCATATATTATGAATGTTAATAAAAGCGTCGCCCACCTATCCATTCCATGTAAGAGTTCCTCTTGATATTTCCAGGAAACTTTACGAGAGTCAAAGAAAATACTTGAGGACAGCGAGTTCTGGCTGAAACAACAGATAGGGAACATAGACAATAAATTAAAGTTTTGTATTGATAAAATGTAATTTATTAAAAAATCTACGTCAGATCATCAAAATTTTATAATTTTTTCAAAAATTATACATTTAAAAATCGACTTACTAATTTCTTCATTCCGACTGTTATATCACAGCATTATAATAGTTAATGAGCTTTATTAAGTTTACAAAGCCGTTAAGTAAATTTAGGTACTACTTAAATACTACTACGGGTAAGACTCAGAGTCATAGATTAAAAGCTGCTTATGTTCAATTTGAATTGCAAAGTTTGTTTTTATAATACACATAGTATAACCAATATTATGATAGGTTTACTAAGATAATAGTTTTCTAATTAAATTAATTTTAGATGATGTTTTTAAGGAACGGTAAGGTTAAACGGCAAAATTACATTTTCCTTACACACCCATACCACAACTTGAAGCAAAAGATACTACATTAGCAATGCAATTAAGTGTTAAAAAAAAAAGATGTCTTTATGCGAGTATCACAAAAATATACTAGGTATATTAAAACACGTATATTTTAATACAAGTTTACAGTTATTTTTTATTAAATTATAAAATCCCCCAGCTATGCATAAGGATTAGGAAATATTAGAATAAATAAACGTAACGTCATGATGATTAAACGCGTTTTATCTAGAAGTGTATTTTTTACTAATATATCGCCCCACTTTCTCAATATCATTATTTCTGTAATGGAGTATGTATATGGTAATAATCAAACATATTTACAATTCAGATATCGTATCATGTGTTGTATCTTAAATTTCGACCTCATTATTTTACCTTTCAAGGTCAATAGGTACATTGTACGAGGCCATTTAATGTAAATTCGAAGGTGAACATTGAACTCAATAATTTCTTTTTCTGTTTCTTTTCTTAGAAGCCCCTCTAAGGAATCTTTACGTCACACCTTCGAGTCACACTTGCAAATACGAGCATAATCTAAGACGAAAAGAATACATTTGTTATGTTCATCTTGTACACAAAAAATAAGAATATATTACGTACAATTCATTTAATTTATTTTGAGTCATAACATGTTAAGTAAAATAAGTTTAATAAGATTAGTAGTAAAATTTGGTTGTAGAAGAACTTTTTATGATATAATTAATAAACTACAGAATTAAATATTATTTAAAATAAGGTAATAGAATTAATCATTTCAAATGAATTTGTTATAAGTATATTAAGTCAAATATTGCTTGTTTGATAGAGAGATGCAAGAGATTCAGTTTTATTAGATTAAAGGTTTTTCAAATTTCACAAAATTAGCTGTGACCATTTTTTTTTGGTTCCTATTACATAATCTAGTGCAACCACTAATTGGCACAAGTCTTAAGTACAATTTAAGTATATTTTTCTTACCTACTGTAAAGAGTAACAAACAGTATAGATTATAACATTCCCATATAAAAATACTAAATCACACAACTCGGGCCTGATCAAACAGTGTCATGTTATTCATTCGCGAATCTTGATCACCTAGTTCAATTTGTTCTTTCAAAAATTCTAATTCCTTTATACCACAGTTGACAACTTCATATTTATGTGTTGCTAATGACATGTAAAAGTGTATGGCGAATGCTAAAAACACTATCATAACTGGAATTAGAAGAACACATGCGGACCAGGCGGCCGTGGGGCTCAAATCATAGAACTTCACCCAGCAAAGAATAGCTATTTCTACTAAGAATAAGATAAGACCTAACAATGTTGAAAAGGCCCATGCAATTTCTATATACCAATGTAATCTCTCGTGGGGAGATTCGTGAACTAAGGATATGCTGTGGAGGTTGCCAATAGCTTCAATGTTTGGTAAGATACATGTGCTGATCATCAAAGCCAGCATGTGGACTGCTACCAACAATGTAGTACAAACTGTGAACGCTACCAACATACCAGCGGGAATTGTTGTTGGCGTATTTAGTTGGACCTCAACCATTGCTACCTGAAAGAAAATATCTTTAGTAAGGTTTGCATGTGTAAAAACTTTGTAAGTCATAGTCATATTCGCTTTGAAAGTATTGAGAATTGTAGTTGATCATTGAGGGATAAAATTAAAATAGCGGTTAATATAGCCACCTATTTCCCTATCAATTTCTATAGTAATTATTCTATTGTCTTAATCTACTGCATGATTTAGTTCCTGCCCTTGTTATTAAAAATAGGTCCTTGTTAGAAATATTGAATATATAAAACACTGAATGTATCCGCTTCCACTATAATTTACCATTGCAAATCCAGATAGGAGTGCTGAAGTTTTGCTGGAAGCCTTAAGTTTAGCTCGACTAAGCTGTAACTTCCTCCAAGAGAGATATGCCGGCGTGTGTAGGGCGTCATCAGCGTTTAACCCGCCCTCGTTCGCCATCACGCACTTATGCTGTAAAATATAGAAGAAAATGTATAATTGGTAACCTATCTTTGAGTCAGTCAAACATAAAACCTTGACATATCACATAGACAATGAACCTTGTGTTGCAATTTAAAGGAATAGACTTGTTATTGTTTCATGCTTTGTAGGCTTAATCTTTAGTATACCATAACACTTTGTAAAAGCAACCCATGATCATGAAGAAAATACCCTTTAAAGTCTTCTTGGCTTGTCCAAGTAATATATGCTTTATTAAGCAGCTTTAATTATTATAATATAATCAAGTTAAATTTTTGACAAACCCTAAGAGCATCAACACACTAAATGAAAACAACTTATCATAACACATAATGATGTATTGTTAACATGGCAGTTTATAACTAGTTAATCACATAGTTTTTAACTGATTATATTATGTTTAACAAACATTTGTTAAAAGAAGTAGCTAGAAGCCATTATATCATTCTGCAAATTGTAAGAAAATTTAAAAAAATAGTGTAAATACTTAAAGAAATTTACAAAAATTTAACTGAACCAAAACCAAAAAAAGATGCCAAACACAACTAAATATCCTTAAATGTCATATAATGTAGAAGAATTAAAAGCTAAATGAGGCCTATTTAATAAGTAAATATTCATAAATATTGATAGATGAATAATTATTAGTCATACCTATCAACTAAACCCACTGAGAGATGGTTTTTTTTTGTGAAAAGACTAGACTTATTCAATTGCAATGTTTATTTCAAGCACATGAGTCAAAGGCAGATATTTTAAGGTGAAGCTGCAATTATAACATATAACTTAAATGAATGAATATTAATTATAATGAATAATAATAACTAATTTATTAACAAATATTATAGACAATTGTATACATAAATTAACACAAAACCATCTTAAACCCTATTGTGAACCACAAGCAGGTGAATAAAAAAAAAGGCTAACAAAACTTCAAATAAGATTATTTACATTTTAAAAAAGGCATATCAATAAAAATTATGGACCTGAATGATTGCTCCCTCACTATAAAAAAAATATAATTTTATAACTCACATTTTAACAGGAATTTAGGGTCCAAATTTGACTGGAAAATCAATAAAAAACCCCCTGATAAGATACCTGTGTTTACACTTTAAAAATAAACAATTGTAGGAGATAAACTAAAATGTATGCTTGTTAAAAAAAGGCAAGCAACAAACTTAATCAAATGTGAAATGCAATTCGAAATCAATTAGTTTCTAAGTAAAAGGAGTAATGTATTAAAGTGACCTAGACAAATGCAAACATTGAATTAGAGGACTCATACCTTGGTTGGGTTTGGGCACCAATTGTTAGAATGAGTGTAACGACTGGGAGGATGCCCGAAGTGGTAATTATTGCCGACTGTACTAGCTGACCAAACCGACATACCTAAACAATACACGATAGACCTTCAAGTCGTCGGGGTCACTTGATTAGATTCCCATGCAATTTAATTTTATACACTATATTTAAATATTTATGTCGATAGCTTCGGTTTACCGCAGTGGTGTTATTTATATGAGAATAAGAATAAAGTAATATCTAAATGCAAAACAATTAACATGGTAACAACTACAATAGGTATATATATTATGATAAAATAAATTATATTAAAAATATTTACGGAGTAGAAACTTAGAAGTAAGAACGTTCAACGTAGGTAGACATTTAAACAAAAGTCAAAACGTAATACAGATGCCAAATGTCATCATCATTAAATCATGCACGTCATTTTACGTTACGACTTTTAGTAGTGACAGTGAGTAGTTGTAAGATATGCCATAACGGAACGCCATTGCTATGTGAAAGAGATAGCTATAATTATCTCACTCATTTTTCTAACGGTATTGCGTCCGTGCGGGAGTGTCCAAGAAAATTAGGAAATTGGACGAATGAGAATGATAAGTCACTTGTCTTATTTGTGGATAATGTAGGTCGGATATACTGTTTGTTTTGGTTTATTATTGGCTATCGTTGAGAAGAACTTGTCTAAGACTAATGCTGAAGAATTTAAGCACAGTTGTTTGAAGTACTGTGAGAGAAAACTGTAAATATTTTATTTGTGCTGTGGTTAAGTGGCTTCCCGTTTGTTGTGTCACGATGGCTGAGGCTGCAGCTGCTACCACCACAAACCCTAATGCTGAAATAGTGCGAGGACAGGTGTTTGAAGTTGGACCGAGGTATAAAAACCTCCAGTACATTGGCGAGGGAGCTTATGGCATGGTTGTGTAAGTACTTACCTCATCAGCATTTACAAACCCTGTTTACATTTATTAAAACAAACCACATCTGTAACAATATGTGGAGTTTTACATATGTATATTTCTATATGACAATTACTTCATTTTGGCACAAATTATTCATTTTATTAAACAAATAAAGTTTACTTGAACAATTACATATGGTCAAAAAACATGTACTAATGATTATAATCAATAATATAATATATTAAATGAAGACTAGCTCTAATGAAAAAACTATTTATTTTACAAATTTAGTTAACACTTTCAATTAATTTACTATAGTATGCATTCATAGATAGGTAACTTACAGAAAATGTAAAACCATAAAACAGATAAGATATATTTGAGTTAGATAATCATACTAGTTAGTAACAATGACTCCAATAGGGCATAAGTAATGTTGATTGTGAACTCATATTAGAACCAGAATACTTATTATCTAGTTGATTTGAAGTTTTATAAGTACTGAAAATAAACAATAGTATAAATACAACTTTAACAACATTTATAATTTATTGTAGTGTATCTTATTGATAATTAAAGGTGCATAGTATATGCAGATATTTTATTGCTTGATTCCATTAAATAGTGATTAATGATATGACCAACATGTGTTTATGAAGCATGCACAAGGTTCTGTACAGATGTTACTTTATAATATTTATATCACGCATATATATTAACAAAAACTTAAATAATTCAATTTTTATCTTTTTGGATTTGATTTTTGCTTACTGGAAATATATATATATATATATAATAAATTACTTACATATAATATAAGTAATTTCAAGCACTTACCTAAGCTATTTTAGTTCATTAATATAATAAGATACTAATTATGGTTTGTAAGTGATGATAATTGTTGTGGGAATAGATTAGTACACAATAATTTTTGAATGAATAAATAACTAAGTCATACTTTTATATTATCAAAATTCATTAGGTGGACCGTATAAACAACTAAAAGTTATATGAGGAAAATAATCAGATATTAAGGAAAACCCTTTACATTTACGCCATAGGTATGATACAAATATTGTTGGTTAAAGATTATTTTGATGCTACTAGCTAGATGCAAGCTTACTCCATCAGGAGTAAGCTTGCTTAACTAATATTTAATGAGTAAATGGTATTCTGTATTCCAAATAGATGTCAAATATATTGCAATTTAAAATTTCATAACTCTCAGTGGCTAGTGTTGTTACTGTGCTCCTTTACCCTTTGATGAAATATAGCTAGTATCTGAGTAAGGTTGTCATAATATACTATATTCCGCAATTAGTAAAATATGTTTTTTCAGGATTATCTAAGTGACACAGGAATGATATATAATTTAATACCCCCGACCTAATTATGATTATATTATTAAGAATTATACCACTTTGCCCCATTGACTATTACTAGACAGGAAATAGAAGTAAATATATCTAAACACTATTTCATTCTATTTACATATTTAAATTTATGAAGCCAAGCTATTCAAATCTTTGATAAAAACATACTTAATGTACAGGTTAAAACATAAATAAATTGAATTCTGGAAATGATCAATTTTGCATTGTCTTTTTTAAATAAGGAAATATCATACAGGTAAGGGAATTTTTTAGCATGGCTATAATGTATTTTTTATACCATAGACATCCTCTAAGAAAAAAATTATCACAGAGTATTGTCTATTACTTTTGTTATGAGGAGGAATGTACGTGATCGGAGCACTGAATACGCGATGATGTCGGCCCAACCTTACTTATGCCACATCCGTTATTCTAACACCTTAATATCCGAGAATTCTTGAGATATGCGATTATATCTCTATATTTAAAAAAAAACTACTTAAAATGCAAGAATCATCTTAACTTTGAATAATCAATTACTTGGTAAATTAAGTAGCATAAGTATGGACACAATGTGACCGATTTTTCACCTGGGTTAATTTGTTCGTAATGAGATGATAATATAGGGCTTCTTATTCCTTAAAAAATGGACCGTCCTTTTTCCATATATCGAAGATCTTACTTGCTTTATATAGTAGGATACATAGTATGTGATACAAATTTTGATTTATACATACCTTTTTCCAGACAGACAAACAAAAATATCAAGGTTGCAGTCGTTCAGGAGTTAATGTATAACTTGGCGATTCATTTTTATTTAAATAGATAGGCTTTGTTAAGCTTGTTGGCTGAACTCGTTTAAGTAATAATAATAGCTCTTTATTTTGCTTGTACTGCTGGTAGCTCGGATATGTACGTACTATAAAAACTATATTAAGTTAACAACGAAATATCTAGTCATGCAATCGCCGCTTAAAATGTCTTAAGTTCATAGAAGTTTAAAGAAGAGAAGATATATTTTAATACTCTATTAAAATCAGTCCCTCGGTCCTCGTTTTTAGAATATAGAAACATAATTAAACAGTCTCTCCCGTCTGATATCTTTTCATATTAGCATGATTAAAATTCTTTTTGGAACGGATTTTTACAGTTGATTACACATGAAAATCTCAACGGAGAAAACCTAAAATAGAAATCTTGCACTGAAATTAACTTCGAACTTAAATAGCTAGGGTACTTAAACGTTGTTTTACCGAAGTTCAAAGTTGGGAAAACTTAGATTGGTGCGTCAAAAGAAATGGAAATGGAGAAATTTATGTTGTACATATAAAAAAAACAGTGGTGCAACAACTCTTCAGGTCTGAGCCTCAGATGTCTGAATCTGATTCACGATCATTTTTCAATCTAATAGGCAAGTAGGTGATCAGCCTCCTGTGCCTGACACACGCAGTCGACTTTTTGTGTCTAAGACTTGTCGGTTTGCTCACGATGTTTTTCTTCACCGTTCGAGAGAATGTTAAATGCGCACATAGAAAGTCCATCTGTGCACAGCCGGGGATCGAACCTACGACCTCAGGGATGAGGGTCGCACGCTGAAGCTATTAGGCAAACACTATATAAAGAATATTTAAAAAAAAAGTTTTTTAATTAATCAGAGGTCTTATTCCATTAAGGTTCTTGCAGGGTTTTTTTGATGTTAGCTCTGACTTAATAAAACATGGCTTAACTGTCTCCAGTTAAATTTACTCGAACCTTGTGCTCCTGGACGATAGTTGTAATTTATTCGCAGCGCTGCGGTATTCATTTAGCTTTAGTTACTATGAAGTCGTACATAATCCACTAGGCACTTCACGCTTGCACCATTCAAACGTCTCGTTGCACAAGTTATTCCACTAGATTGCTCTAGACATGGACCTTCGGTACCAAGGGGTCACTGCCAAGTGCTAAGCCAACCATGAACATTAAAATAATTTGTCACTTCACTGATTCGTATCTAGTGTCTTGGTGTAAAAAATTCCGACCACTTCCGAAGTAATTGAGAATTGTAGGGCTTTCCTTTCCGTTGCTAGGTACCTATTTGTTTGGTAATATCATATTTCCTTTGATCTTTGTAAGATGTAATAAAATCTTCATAATTATTTTTTGCTACCTAAATGCGTATTTATTATCTGCTATTTCGTACCGTAGATCTTTATTGACTTGAAATTATAAGACGGCTGCGTGAAATCTTTTAATTGAACTGAAGTTTTACCTAAGTTTCTTTAAAGAATTAATTACCTGTCGAACCAATAACAGACTAAAAATACCTACTGTAGTACACTAGTGTGTACAATCATAATTAAAAATGAACGTAACATAGAAGCCACAAGATCGATAGGTCAATAACTTAATTAATGTGCAATTACTATATTCGATTGATCGCATTTATCAGTCTCCCTGCCGGCAATATTGCTCGGGTTAACCTACCGTGCTATTAGATACAATATCGATACGTGAAACGTGACTTCAGCTCGAGAAATGTAATGATATACCGCCGTAAAGATATTTTCAAATGTTTACGTACGATATGTTGACACTGCAAAATATGACACGTAAAATTCTTTTAACATGCTGATTTTTTAAGACCCACGAGAATTTTCAAAATATGTTAAAATTTCGGCTCTTATTCATTGTATTAATATTACAAGTACATCATTTTTACCTACTTATATAATATTTAGGACAATACTGTAACTAAAAAATAACCATATAGAATTATTAATTAATAAACCGATTCCAACTGGAATTAGTAATTGTTTGTAGGTGTTGTTATGGAAGATAGATAGATGGGAGTTTTCCACGTTTTCCATTTTACGCTATATGCCATGTGCGTTAACCACGAAGTCACGGAGGAATATATTGCAATGTCTAATATTTAGTTTGTATTATGTTAAATGAAAGTCCGATTCATAACAATCCATTAGTTTAATGAGATTGGGAGCAAGGCATACTGACACTGAAAACTAACCTATAGACTACCAACTACCTTATTAAATAATGAAGAGTGGTGCCTATTTACATATTCTATAGTATGTATATAAATACAAATACAAACATACCAGTTTGGAATAAATTAAAGAAAAACTTACCAACAAATACATGACTCAATATAATAGAGGTTTTTAGTTTAATAATGCTAATATATTATCAATGAATTTTTATGAAATCAATACATACATTTTTACAACTTACTTTAATACCGTAGCTGTCTACAGATACCTAAAAATCTACTGAGTGAGAGGCACGAGAGACTGATCCCCTAGACTCACTAGAGCTAAAAAATTGTAGCGCCAGTGAGTTAGATACTCTTCGAATTACTTTATTCCGGCTCAGCTGTGCTTTGTAGTTATTAAATTTCCGAAAATTTATTAGACATTTGCTTTGAAACTTTGGAAGACTCAGCCTTCGAAATTGGCTTTAACTGAATATAATTGGCAAAGCCATAGTGATTTTAATTTAATGAAATCCCATTGATGTTGGGGATATTGAAGGTTTATTTCTCAAATTTCGGACTTTGAAATATGAAACTCACAAAGCTTATTTTGTCAAGGCATATTTGCAATACTTAATAATTTTCAAACATTTGTATTCTAGTTACTTTGTTACTCTGTGAGCTTGATTTGAGTAGACAGTTTTTATTTGACTTAACAAATTGGAGCTGTTCAGCGTTTTATTTTACTAAGAAATTTATGAATTATATTTGAAGGGACGTAATTTTATTTATATTTGTATTGCAGTAGTTTAGCATGAACCGTATGTCCTGTTTTTATGACTCAAATAAAGACTTTGATAGCGTTCAGACTTCACACGGCTGGATGTTTTTTTTATTAAGATAGTCTATAGCGTATGGTCATCACGGATGTCGGATTTCAATGGTGATTTTTTTTAAATAGGTCCAAAAGTTTTGGCGCCAATTCCAATAAAAAAAATCTAAAAAATCTTTCTTCATTATAATATCATATTATTTTTTTGATATAACGAAAGCTTTAAGTTTCTATTCCCTTAGCGCGAACTTTATCCATCAGTAAATAAAATAAAATATTACAAAATGGAAAACTGTTGTAACTGTTAATCTGAAATTTTAAAAAATACTGTATTTATTACTCCATAATATATTCAGAAAAAACAGTGCATTTAACATTCAAAGTTATTTGAATTGTCAATTCACTTTAGGAACTGCTAATTAAGGTCTGTATTCACTAATAATTAGTGCGAGTGCAAGTACTTAGTAATTGAGGATGATTCGTGCAGGTGTGTAGTGCAAGTAGTGTCCAATTATTGTTTCGTGTCTCTGTTAAGTAAATTCAGTTGTCGATAGTTTGGCAGGCACGCTGCGAGCGAGGGGAAGAGAGGGCGCACGCGACGTCACTACTCTCAGTTCACATGCAAAAATATAGAACACGCTTCAAATCACTTTACTCGCAGCCAACTTATCATCTGCACTAATCAGTCGTCCACACTTGTTTTCTCCTAATCACTAATCACCTGCACTAATCACTAATCAAAGTGAATACAGCCTTGCGATTCTGTAACTCACAATAGGATATAAGGAGGGAGCTTGTAGTTTATTGTTTATCAGAATGGCAAATCGTAAAATGACTGCTTCACGACTGATTTGAGCGCGACCGCCGCTGCGAAAACCGCTGTGTGAGTTCGAAAAGTGAGTTACAGAATCGCAAGGCAGGCCTTAACGAGAAATGACAGGTAGTAAAAATCCAACACTGGCTGTTAAAATGGTGTCACGGAAGCATAGTTAGGTATGAGCCATGTTATTTGTATGAGTCATTATATTATCCTATTGTTTCGTAGCTTGGATTGTCGCGTTTTCCTCCTATGAGTCGGGATATGTTCATCCGTTTTGCGAATTATACGCGTTTTTTTTCGCATCCTTTGTTTAGATTTAAATTAATTGTGATACAATAGTAACATAGTAACAGTTTATTGCATCTTCTTTTGTTTTTAGCTAATCAATTTCTGTAGATATAAATTGATACAATGTTTTCCTACTATTAAGCAAATTTATTAAAATTTTATGTCGATATTAATAGATAATATTATTGTATGAGGTAAATTTGAAATGGCAAGACTGAATATGTATTCAATAGAAACATTAACTGAGTCAGGTATTCGTATAATAATAAAACAAAATGTAAATTGGGTAAGTTTAAGAATATTAGTTCATTTAGGGCCAGTTTTTTGATCTATAAAAAATGGTTTTACCATTGTTACATTAACTATAGTTAAATGAATAACCATTGGTAAAATCGTAAATGGTTTTTATGCTTTTTAATATATTAAATTAACAATTGTAATTAAAAACATCAAAATTGGATATTTATTTTGTATACAAATAACATATTAGTGAATGAAATATGCATTATTGATTGTAGAGTTAAGTGTAAATTAATCTAAATAACACATAAAATAAAGTTGTTTTTTTATTAATAGGTTTACACTTTTTACGATATTCAATATAAAATAACATTAAAAGCAATCAAAAATAATTCAAAATTTGTATATTTTAAAAAGTAAAAAAGGGACATACTGTAACTTCGCAAAAAAAACTGAATGGGATGCTTCTGAGGTTAAAGTCGTAACTGAAACAATGATACTGCAGAATTAAAAAAGATCACTGAAATCTTATTTTACTAGATGGGTTAGAAAAGTTTAAATTAAATAATTTAATAAGTTAGGAATTTTTATATTTATTTTGTATAGTGTTCCTAAAAAAGAAAAATCTTTTAACCCTTTGGAAACAAGGAAGGATTATATAAGATAAAAAAGATTTAAAAAAAACAAATAAAGAGGATATTTTAATATAAAAATAAAAAATTTAATGAGGCACCAAAAATTAAAAAGAGGAAAAAATAAAAAAAAAAAATAAATATATTAAAAAAAATTGATAAATTAGGAAAAAAAAAAAATTAGAAAATATTATTGTACTTTAGGTTTTTAAATTTTGTAATTTTTTAATAAAAATGGTTTTATTTAATTAAATAAAATTTATAATATATTTTTATTTATAAATTTTAAAAATAGAAATTAACTAAAATTAAAAAAGCCAAAAATATATTCCCTAACTAATTTACTGTATTTTTATAAATAAATTGTATACTAAATAATTAAATTAATATATATAAATAAAATAATATTAACTCTAATTCAAATCTATTCCTATAATATACTATAATAATATAAGAAATAAGAAAAAACACAAATAATTAGTAATATATAATTATAAGGGGTTATAGTAAAAGAAAAATTTAAGTTGTTATAATTTTGTATTTTATTTAATTATAATAATTATAAGTTAATATTTAGGCAATAAAACACATAATGAATTAGTAATATACTTAATTATATACTGTGCGGTTCTGTAGTTAGTAATGAAGCAAAATAGGTTGGTATGAGCTGTGTCTATATATACTCTTGTTCATTGAGTTTAAGATCATTCCCAATTTCAGTAACAATCCAGAGCACTGTTCCCTTCGATAGGGGTAACAGTGACAAAAATCTACATCATCCAGGTTTTAATGGGGATGAATTGCTAAATATTTTTGGTCACTCATTAACACATTCTCATATAATATTATCGCCTTCTTCATCTCTATTAATTAAAGTATCTCAATATTTTAAATTCATCATTAGATAGTAATAAACTATTTATATTTTATTTTTACAAAGTTTATATATAAATTACATCTTTTTAACCTCCGAATAGTTACTTTTTTGATAATGTTAATATTTAATAAGATGATTTTAATTTAACTATATAACGATCTGAGTGAGTTATACAGAATTGTGTTTAATCTACTAAAGTTATTCGTTAAGATACCAACGGTGTATATATAACTAGATAGTAGATTATATATTATAAGATAATTATTTACGTCGATTATAGTAGATTTATAACACTTTC